CAGGGTGAAACACCATCGGTTTAAGTAATATAGCGTACAGAGACCAATAGATAACAATAATGAACAGTATGGGATATACGTTAGATCAGTGTACACTGTGTTGCTTCATTTGTTCTTGCTTCTGTCATTTTTTGTCATTTTTTACACTAGATTAGTTAATTAGGAAACGTCTGCACTCAAAACGCGTACGCTTGCCTTTAACGACTTACTTTCACAAAAACGTTTCTGTCATGCATGCAGTTCACCTGTTGCGACATCTGAGCAATGGGGCACGGACCTTGCGCAGTGTATAACTGCCATGATACGTGGTTTAGTCGTGTCCAGTCAAAATGTACCCTATAAGGGTAGAAGGTAATTTTCACCGAAAAGAAAAGTACTTGTCTGGAAACCGCATTTTCGTAATCAATACGTGGTCGTCCCTCCCTTGAGAAGGGACACACTGATCATTGGCATAGCCGAGGGAGGTTACTCACTCCACCCAGTTTTTTTCCCCCATTTTGCATGCGTATATATGCATGCACACGGGCATACAAAACCGCCTTACCCCAGAAATATTTCTGGCTACGCACCTAAAACTGACAAACCTTTCCCGCAAAACAAGTGACGCACTCTATACCCTCTCCACCCTCTCCCAACATTTCTCACACGCACACTTCTAAATAATTACGTGGGCAAAACACATGGGAGCCAGCCGTAGCCTTCGTCGCAACATACATAAAGGAGTATGTAAGCCTTCACATTTAAGTACTATAAAAGGTATTGTTATGCTTACAGTATTTTAAGGGTAGCAGTATTGGAGTGTAATGCACTGTGGTAATAGCAATGGTGTAGAAAGTATACGACATGGTACACATGTTAGAACACCTGGTCGAACAGGAGCCTACATGCTGTGGTACTTGGTCTCGCTATATTCCGCGTAAACGAGGCACCATTAGAGGGAATGCCGACAATGTTACCTAGCAGGTTCAGCCTCTTCAAGATGTAATGTAAGACATAGTGAAATCAGTAGTGGTACGCTGGACGACCCGAACTAATGAGACCCGTCTGCGTTTCCGCAGACCACGCGACGTCGGAATGGCTCGCTTCTACTCCAGCTGCCTCGCTTACGCCCATAAACGTCCGAGAACCGATTCCACAGCATTGCTAGAGAGAATGGGCCTCAACAAGAGCTCGTGGACCGACTTAACGAGCATGCAACAGCTTTTAGACCACGTCGTGGCCGCCAATCTTCGCACGGGTCTCGCCGGGTTGGTTCGGGTGAGCAAGGGCGAAAGTGCGGTGCCTCTAGTCCTGGACCTAGGTGAGAGCCTTCAGTCCACTCTTGGAGACCATGCCACGTCATTCGTCAATGTGATGCTCCGCGAGCTCGATTGGTCCAGGAATAGCTCGTTGATTGCCGCTCTGCAGAGCCTGGACGCCAGAGTTGAACTGGCAAGGAACCAAGTAGACACCCTGCCGCTCAACACCACCAGCTTCGCAGTGGTATGTACCCGTGGCTGCATCAAAACGTTTCATATTGCCTCATCAGACGTAACGACTTCTCACATATGTTGATTGGAAGCATTTTACGGTGGATGTTAAAACGACCTAGTCGTTAGATTAGCATGCTCTTTATTTCCACCACTGATACTCGCTAAACGGCCTCTGGAGGCATACTGAACTACGCGTACAACGTCAATATCATGTGCAATGACACATAGCGCTTCTCAGAACGCAAGCTTGCATGAGATAACAGCATGCACGATGTACTTTTTATACTGTCGATTTAACCATACACCTGTCATTTGTGTCATGTATACGATGGTAGACCACAGGTTCGCCTGTGGTGAGATCTTACTTTTTAACCAACGGTCGTGTAAGTAATTATACTTTTTATCGCAACCTGCCGCAAGGACGGCGTCCAGACTTGTAATAAAATTACAAGTCAAACATTAAGCTATCGCACTACAATTTCTGCGACGATATCTGCAAAGTAGAATCGCATCAACTGTGACTGCATTCCTCTGCAATGTTGTGCCTTTTTGAACGGTGACTTCTGAATAGAACTTGTATATAGACTCACTCACTCCTTGAATTCTGATGAACATAGAACGCAGAGACTCCAACTCTGGACGTGTCCTGGGAGCACGTGATGAAGACGTCCTGGAGCGTGCCTACTCCTCCTCCAATGAATCGACCGACCTAAAGAATGCGGTCGTGAGCGTCGGGGCTGTGGATGTCCTAAAACGGATGGTCGCAGCACTAACCACGACCGACCTGCGAGTCACGGGCATTTACTCGCTGCTGCTGATGCTTGCGCAGGTCATGAAGTACCCTTACTTGTTGGCGACCAACTACGCTGGCTTTGAAGACATCACGTTGTGTTTACAGGTGCTAAGCCTTAATATGTAGTCCAAACTACATTTCAAGCTGAAGACGAAGTGGCCAGTGCGCTTATTAAGGCGATAGCGTTGAAGGGCTCGTTTTCGAAAATTCTGGTGTCGGCGTCTTTGGTTGTTACACAGAAAGCGGCGTTGACAATCAGTGAAAATTTGACTTAGATGCTATAGTTAATAAGTAAACAATCTTGCGTTCGAGTGAGAGTCGAACCCTGGCCTTCTGTGTGACAAGCAAGTGTCGTATCATGGAGCCACGACAGTGCCTGAAAGACCGTGGTTAAACTATCTATAAGAATGCAATCTAGTTGATGATGTATCCGTATAACGCACGTTATTTTGCTTGGCATAAGTGCAGAATAACACGAGGTGTAAAGTTATGTAAATTTCACAGCGGTTGGGTTGTTCAACCCATTTGTCACAAAGTGTGTGGCTATGCACGTGTGCGTGGCACACTACGAACGCGTATTGGGTATACTTCGTCAATTTGTGAACGGAAGAGTTATGGCGTAGCGGACAATTTGCGACTGTACATGCAGCAGACATTCAAGGGTATAGTTTGAAAGGTTCAATATCACGCGTACAAAAGTTCCCTTCCTTGCGGTGTGGTTGAAGGTGATGCATGCGCGTAAGGCCTGATTACGCTATCACACTCGACTCTTAAAGGCGAAAGTCGATCACACTTCCAATTTTTTTTATAGCGAAGGATAACTCGAACTCTGGAGGCTACTGAATTAAGCATTCGTGTCGGAACATTACAAACAGTTCACCTTCGTGGTGCAGTGGTTTGGTGCTCTGTTCCTGATCCGAAGGTCACTGCATGATTCGCTCCTGGCCGTGGCGGTCGCATTTCGATAGCGGCGAAATGCCAGAGGCCCTTGTACTGTGCGTTATCTGTGAGGAGCACCAGATAGTCGAAATTTCCTTTGTCGTTTGTATACGGTGCGCCTCATAATCTTATCATGGTTTCACACGTAAGACCCTAGACGTTATTATTATAACATTTTAAATACTCGAAGCAGATCCCTTTGTTCGTGCACATCACTGTCATTCTCTCACTTCAATCATCTTCGTATGCTTCAGTGTCTAAACCGACTGTCTTGGCACGAGTATTCAGAAAGTCAGGTCTCCCGTATTTACAAAGAACGCATCTTCTGCGAAAACAAGCGTGGACGCCTGCGATTCACTTTCGTCGGTGAGGAAACGACATGCTCCTGGTGTAGTGGGGAATTCGCAAGGCAATGACTAGTGGGACCATCTCTGAGTGCGAAGCGCGAGCGTGGGCACGAGCTGTAGGAGCTGGACTACAAGAAGGCTTGATGACTCCATGCTGTAGCACACCCAGCACCTCCACCACTCTGCAAGGGAGTTTAATAGCGACGCCAGGCAGTAGGCAGACAGCCGGTACGTACACAAATGCTCGAGCAGTCCAGCGTCTACAGCTCGTGCGAACACTCGCGCTTCGCACTCAGAGATGGTCCCACTAGTCATTGCCTTGCGAATTCCCCACTACGCTGGTAACACTCGTACACATGACAATTCCACTTGCGACTTAACCTTTAAGAGCCAGAGCTGTACGGAGCGAATCTTTACTTGCTGTACGTATTTTCTGCTCCCCCTGCAGGCCACTGGTGAGCACATGAGCGTACAGTTCGCCTCGTGGCTGGCGCGTTCGCTGGAAGTAGCTGCAACACCGGCCTACCTCGGGAATATGGTGGCAGCGCTGAACCAGGGCATCAAAACGAGCACGTGGATCAAAGAAAGCTTTGCATTGAACATCGTTGATTTCCAACAGAAGATGGTGGTCAAGAGGGCAGGTAATTATCAGGCTACCTCACCGAGCAGATCATTTGTAACTTACTATATATACATGTACGTTCAAGCATCTCAAATCAAGATACACAAAAATATAGAAGTAGCGAGGATTAATTTCAAGGTGGGGAAAGGGGGGAGGAGATATTACACGTTAACATGCTTTATAGTATGTTAGTTCATGAGTTTGTACGCGAGTGTGTATAAATACGCACGCAAAAACAAAAAAAAATGCTCCTCGCAGTAAGCAAGTTGCAACGTACAGATCGCTAAAAGATCCCCCTGTTTTCATAATTGCCCAAGCCTTAAACATATCCCGTGTACTGCAGTCGTGACGACGGTATAAAATCCTAAGTTCTTGCATAAGCGCGTTGAACTGGAGCTGTTTGAAGCTTATGCGATAACGAGAAGACGTGGACGGGTATACTTGCTGATTGTGACGTGCAATATCTAGACGCAAGAGAGTGACGGCGGATTTTCTGATGACTACAATCAAGCGGCCAATGAACTGATATCGTTATCTTTCACTGTATATGTGTCATCTTTTACTCGATAAAATCCTTGGTGATTACGCGCACGCCCTTTTTTCTCTTATGCTATCCGTACTTCTGGCGCTGTAAGAAACTTTTTCAAGGGTTAACTTCCACCAACTAGCCCAACTCTCAGCAAAGTATTGTTCAGTCAGTAAAGACGCCTTATTATGACATCTGCCCTTCATCCACTATCAGGGAGCGTTATCACCGACGGCTGCGTCACCAGATCAACGGCGACCCGAAGAAAGTGAGCTACGGTGACGATTTTGTAGCCAATATACTGCTGGCTCGCAAGACGGCTGCACTGGCTTGCGTTAGCGCCGAAGCTGTCGCTGCAGTTCGCTGGCAGATAGAAGGTACGCATCGAGCCCGATGTCGCCGGGGCTTTAGTGGCGCCTACCGCGTCGCTCACTCCAGACCTGCTTCACGTCGACGCCGGCGAGCCGAGTCTGGACTACTCGACGCTGGGCGTGATGCTGCTCGTCGAGTGGGCGCACGCCGTCAGCGCCCGCAAGCCCGAGCTGAGAGCCCGCCTGAGCGAATATGGCCAGTGCGTGCGCACCGATGCCATGGATCTGCTTATGGTGAGTCAGTAGATACGCTGGTCGAATCAATTTTTTTTCGGGTTGGGCTCGCCGCGTAGTTTTCCGGTCCTAAAGCGGCGAAGCGAGTGCATTTCTGATACTTTTGCCATTCCCCCCCCCCCCCTCCGAAGAAAGTGTGAATGCGCCTTGAAGTACAGAAAATCGCGACTCGCTCGCTGGATTTCGTGCCGACCGGTTGTTCCCCCGCGATCTCCTACGACAGCGCAGCACTGGCCACCTGGCTCGCCCTACACCATCTCCTGACGCCGACAAGAGCTCTCGCTGAGTGGTGGCCCGTCCTCTGACTCCTGCCACCGTGTCCATCTTCCCTGTCTTCTTATTTCCGTATGTGGGACTCTCTGCCAATGCCCTATCTCTACCCCTATTCCTTTAATCCTCCATATCCCTCTTAATCCCTCCATACCCCTATCCCTCGCGAGCCATTGTTGAGGTGTCACACTAAGATGCAGACAGTTACGGGGCTCTCTTTTATCTTCTTTTCCCTCCTTTAAGAATCACTTGCACAGAAAATCGCGCATGGCTATATGGGTTAGAGGGGGTGTTAGGGGTTTTTAATTATTTCTTTCTTAGGTTTTTGGAGGGAGAGAAACAGAGCCAGTTCGACAACTGAATACGACCACGAGCGCGGACCATTGCTCTAAGCAGCGAAGCTCGAAAAAGATGGCGCGCACCCTTCCGTGCGAGTGATCAACACCATGCAGTTGCGAAGGGTGGATAAGCTTATCACTTCGAGTGATCTGTCTCCTTGTCGGTTTTCACAACGCCGGCATGTGTAACGGCATAAAAAAGTCAGTTTCACATTGCATCTGCTTCTTTGAAACAGCTCCATGCTGCAACATTTTAGACAGCAGAAGTGAATAAACGACCGTTTAACCCTTACTAACGTTGCAGCTTCCGGTACCTCAAGGAAGCGAGAAGGAAAGTTATGGTTTATCACTAATCTTCTGTTCGAGCTGGCACTCAAATTGCCTGCCACGGTGGTCTATAGTGGCTAAGGCACTCGGCCGCTGACACGTAGGTCGCGGGGTCGAATCCCGGCCGCGGCAGCCGCATTTCAGATGGAGGCGAAAATACTTGAGCCCCGCGTGCTTAGATTCACGTTCAAGAAACCCAGCTGCTCGAAATTTCCGGAGCCCTCCACTATACGGTGTCTCATAAGCATATCGTGGTTTTGGAATCTTAAACCCCATGGTTTATGTTCATCAAGTTAGCGATAGACATCAATGTACTAGTCATCAATATACATAGATCGTGCTTTCTTGTTAACACATGGCACCATGCTCGATTAACTAAGCAAGTGATCGTTCTAGTGGTTAGGGCAAATGCACGTGCTATTCGCACTGTCGCACCGCAAGTGGCAGGACACCTGCTGCACGCAAGCGGGGGGTGAAAGAGCAAATTGGCGACATTAGGGAGTTTTAGTGCTGGGTACGCAGGCGGCTTGCGTACGTAGGACGATGGGGCGGCGGTATTGCGCATGCGCGAAGCCCCAAAGAAATGCGTCGCAAGATCGCTGGGGCGATGCGTCTGTGCGGCCATAAACAACGCTGCCACCACTGGCCTCCTAGCGGAGATAAGCTGCCGTGGCGCACATGCTGGCGCATCATGTTACCTTGATGGCGAGCAAAGCTGAGGCTGGCCTGAGCCACCACTTTGACTTTTAAGTTTTAAGCGCAAATATTATAGTGGCTAGCCACTATACGAATAGCATGGCACAAAGTCGCGAAATCTCGGACAGCATGGATCGGCCGCCTTGTAAGGTCCACTTTCGCGAAAATTCACGGTATCCGCACTGCGGATACTCTTGCCGTCGAGTTAAAATAAGCCAAAGTGCGATCACTTATAGCGATTACACGGTTTAAGCCAGATTTCCACAGCTAGAATGGCCTGGAACATAGAACTAAAAATTTGCCATCTCCCGACCAGCTGACTAGGTGGCGCCATCTAGCGAGGTCATAGTGAAACAGACAACCACACTTTTGTTATTGCAGAAACATTGTGCATGGTACATCTGGTGCAAAAACTGCGCAGCGACAATATTACAAATGAGTAACGATTTTATTCATTTTCACCTCAGAAACATTACGCGTAAGCTAACATGTTCATGACTGTGGTTGCACGAAGTGTCACAAGATGTCGACACTGCCGTTACATTAACTTTGTCTTTTCACTTTTTTGCGTATACCAGGATACTGTACACAATAAAAAGTGTCCTGATCGCTATGTATGTCTAATTTAACATTTTAAATCATAAAAATACCTAAATAATACTTACGCGACAAGACGCTATGGCGCTGCGAGCGCGTGCGTGCCACCGTGGTGCCAACTAAAAGGAATTCCGGTTGGGTATGGGTTGGGCACGCAACGCCGCACGCTCCCAAGCCCGCAAGGCCCCAAGAGAATGCGTACCCAGCACTAAAAATAGGGAAAAAAAACCCCTCCGCTGGCGTGCGGCAGGTGTCCCACTACGTGCGGTGCGGCTAGCGCGTGGATAGGCCTTTATGGCCGATAAAGCTATATACGAGCCTTATGTCGGATAGCTGCCTGATACAATTATAATATACAGGAGTCAAAACTTCGCCTTTTGAACGAAAGTGAATTTCTTTTAGGGGCGAAGCTCCTTAGGGCGTGGGCTGTGCGTCCCCTGTATGTAGCCACCTCTAGTTTAGTTCTTGCAGTGTTCACTAGATGGCGGTACCGTCCCCTGTATGTAGCCATCTCTAGTTTAGTTCTTGCAGTGTTCACTAGATGGCGGTACCATCTCCTGTATGTAGTCACCTCTCGTTTAGTTCTTGTAGTGTTTACTAGATGGTGGCACTTGTAGCTGATGATGAAAAGATGCAAGATGTTATAAACTAGAAAGCGGTACTTGTAGTTGATGAAATACGCGAGATCTTATAAAATAGGAATGATGTCACATATGGCGCGTGTCATTGGTTGAAGGCAATCGTTCGATTTAGTGCGGCGACGTACGCTAGGGGGAGCGATGTAATAAAATCGAGTGGGCAAAATGTACAGAGGATTCATGGTTTACCAGGTTTACCTCTGGAGCTTCGCCCACTCATCATCATTCACTTCGTGGATATGGCGGCATTTTTTTAATGAAAGGCTGACCATGCCGGCATTGGAACACGGCTAAACAATTCGGGCTCAACACAATCAGTTGGCGTGCATGTTGTGAAACTAAAGTGACCGCCCTTTATTTAGCGCGGAACGACACAAGAAAAAAAAAACGGGACAAGGCGCTTTGTAATGTCTTCTTTCTTATGGTGTATCGCACTAAAAATAAATAAAAAAATTCACGTTATTGTCGATCACAGCCGTCAATACTCTGCTGAAACGTTCTGCATGCGTTTGGCATTCACATGGATTCCGCATATTGTCCTCAAACTATACTTATTGAAATGAAGTACAATACGTTCCGATATGAAGGGCGAGCCGAGACAAGGCCGGTGGCTTGATGTGCTTTTTTCGTGGGCACACGCTATTTTAGGTAGTGTGAGCCCATGATGCACAACGCACACGCTAGAAGACATAGGCGCGTGCGCACAGCGGGGGAGGGGAGGGGGGATAGTTAGTCCAGACCACTTTATCATCTAAGTGGGTGCCAGGTCTGCCGTATACCATTACTGAGCCAGACCTTTCCCGGCCATCATGGTCTAACGTGCAGGCTAATGGCCATACCGGTATTGGGCTGAGGACTAAATTAGAGTGCATTGCAAGAGCACCTCCCATGACCTGGAGACCGAATTGATTCATTGATATGTGGGGTTTAACGTCCCAAAACCACCATATGATTATGAGAGACGCCGTAGTGGAGGGCTCCGAAAATTTCGACCCTCTGAGGTTCTTCAACGTGCACCCAAATCTGAGCACACGGGCCTACATTTCCGCCTCCATCAGAAATGCAGCTGCCGCAGTCGGGATTCGATCTTGCGACCTGCGGGTCAGTCGCCGAGTATCTTAGCCACTAGACCACCACGGCGGGACACCGGGCGACCAAAGGCGAGCCGTCGTGAAAAGAGCTTTGGTGTGGCGCGAAAGGACACAAGGGCACGAGAAGCTACCACATAAGCACATCACATTGTGAAAAGCACATCGTCACTTCATTTTCACGTTGGCATCCATTGCAAGAACTTTACCAGTGCAAGGGGGGGGGGGGGGGGGGGGGGAGATACCGCAGTAAAATATGGCACCGCCCTCTTAATGAAGAATCCAACATGCCTAAGCTAGGTGATGCGAGTGCGTCTAGCTCCTCATGCCAGGTATAGCTGTAATATAAATGGAAACATTGATGGACGCTGACCAACATGAAAAATATGTGCTGAAGTTCTGGCTCCCACACAGGGGCCTTGTTCGCCATCTTGAACGAGGTACCTCGTAGGGGAGCCGAAATTTTAGCAAATATTTTTCACCTTGGTCGGCGTTCATCGACGTTTCCCCCAATGTTCGTTCGCATCAGACGACATTCTGTCGGACCCTCCCCTTCGTAGCTAACATCTCAGCCTCTCCTACTTTAACACGTCAAAGTTGGTCGTAACACTGCAAAATTTTCGCCGCGCGCGATGAGCGCAGGCTGACAATGTGAGCGACGCAAGCCTTCGGACAATGGTGTTCCTTCCCTGGGCCCTGGACCTGGCTCTGACTGCTGCCACTTCGCAGTGGCGCAAAGGCGACAGAAGAGAATCCAGTCAGGGCGTGCCTGTTGACGAGGATGCCGCAACCGAGAGGCTCAGGCTACAACTCTTCTTCCGGCGCTTCTGCCAAACCACTTGCGGGGATAAGGAAGCCGCCAAAGTGTGCCTTTACGGCATGTTCAGGTCGGGCCAGTTTGCCCGCACATTCCATTGCAAGTGGCCCGAGAGGGACGTGGACTGCTGCTACTCGGGAAATGGCATCCGCTTAAGAGCAGCGCCTACATTGCATGATCTTGTTGCGTAGTTTCGTTAATGAAGGGACTCGGGTCGGGGAATTTAAGCAGTTCCAAACTGTACATTTCGCAGCAATGCACAGACTGTATCTGAGAGCTCTTCTGCTCACTGTTCATAATGTTTGAGCCAGTAATATATTATATTATTTACGAAAGCTTCGTTTGCCGAGTCGTATGCCGTTTGCATATAGGCGCAAAAGTATACCAAGTATATCTATCATTACAAAAAAAAATAAATAAAACCTCTCCCCGCAATATCATTAAATTCTACTTCATCCTTGTCGCACGACGCAGGTCACGCATTAGTTAAGTTGCCCCGCAGTGGTGGTCTAGTGGCTAAGGTACTCGGCTGCTGACCCTCAGGTCGCGGGATCGAATCCTGGTTGTGGCGGCTGCATTTCCGATGGAGGCGGTAATGTTGTAGGCCCGTGTGCTCAGATTTGGGTGCATGTTGAAGAGCCCCTGGTGGTCTAAGTTTCCTGAGCCCTCCACTACGGCGTCTCTCATAATCATATGGTGGTTTTGGGACGTTAAACCCCACAAATCAATCAATCACTAGTTAAGTTGCTTTCCAAAGACACGATGAATGCTCATACTAGTTTGCAGGTATACAAGCAAACCTGAAAGATGGAACATTGAGTCTTTTGCGAGTGTTTTACCAGAATAGCCTCTAAAATCGGTTCATTATCATGCGCGCTAGAAGATATTAACGTGACCCGTTATCATGCCTCCAGGAGACGCGTTTGACTCCCAGATACACCTCTTCGTCTTATAAAGACGATGGTCTTTCTTGGGGGCCCTTGACGCAAAAATTTTGGTCTGCCTGCCTGTACATTTCTGTTTGTCCACCCTTAACGTGAAATGGGTACATTAAGCAGCACCAGCCGATACCCCAAGCGGCCAACCTAGAGTTACTGTGTATGCTACTTTTAGGTAGCATATACAGTAACTCTAGGTAGGCCATTTATATACAGTAACATTAGGTAGGATATATAGTAACTCTAGTTACTGTATACGCTACCTAAAGGTAGCATATACAGTAACTCTAGGCTTATTTAAGGTCTCTAGATGAAACACGGAGGAAGGAAAAAGGTAAGGAGAGGGCATGCCCAGCCGGCGCAGGGCGTAAAAAATGTGGCGGAAATGACATCATGGCGGCCATATTCAGTAGGCACAATGGCGGCGTTGTTATGGTTACGTGTTGCGCAGTGAAGCTGGTCTAGCAGTGAGCGGCCGCGGCTGGCGGCGGAATGTGTGCCTCCCCAGGTCTCGTGCTGAGCCGTGGCGGACAATATCTGTGCTCTGCGCCGCGTTATTGGTTACGCAGTGTTCGTCTGGCTGTTACATTACTCCTAGCAACGTTTACAAATCTCTTTGTCCATCACGGGGTTTCAACAGTGCGTAGAACAAGTGCATACCCATGTGTCGTGCGGCGGATGACGCGGATGAAGCAGTTAGTGTTCAGTGAAATGGCGTTGGGCACCATGACGAAGCTGAATGACGACGAACGCCTTGCAGGTCAGTGACGATTGAGCAGTGCTCCTGCTTGTGACAACGGACGACGCTGTTGAGCCCAGCAAGACGCCGTGAGGACCATGTGCACATACGTAGTTTCGTGTTGTGTGTGTACAGTAACAACTTGCATGTGCGTATTAAAACACCCTTTCTGTTCCGCTTGGTACACTCTCCACCAGCATTCCATGTAATCTCAACGTAACAGCAAGCACGTTCAACTGTCACTAGCACCGTGCTCAAAGTCACCACGGTCGCAGAATGCTGACGCAGGTGAGTTTCACGCGGAACACGGACACAGTGGCAGGACGCTGCGTCAGTCGCGTGGCGGAAGCAACCGTAGAAGGCGCACGACCGATCGTGTTGTCTGTACAGTTGCTGAATTAATGACGTGAAAGCACTCGCCATTGTCAGTGCATCTAGCGCGCGTTCTTTCGTAGTTGCTTCGTTGTCAGCGAGCTGTTACTCTTTGTTATTACTCGGACGAAGCGATTTCGCTGAAGGTGTCCCGCTGGCTCAGAGTGATGAGCCCAGTTCCATTAGTTTTGGATCGTCACGACACACGCGCTGCGCAGCCCACGTGCTTTCCGAGCCGGAGAGGGAGTCGCGCCTTCTGCTTCGCATTCATATGTAAACAAGAGGGGAGAATTTGCCTACTCAATATGGCCGACTTCCGGCTTCCTCGCGGCTTCACAACGAGTGACGCCAGGGCCTCTCCTTACCTTTTCCTTCCTCCGTGAGATGAAACAAGTTTCCAAGGTAGCGACACCCTCCCTTTTCCTCCTCGCTTATCTGCCTGAAGCGCCCCCTAGAAGATTTAAAACGTTCACCCAAAAGCGAATGTTTGGGTTCTGTTGCTACGGCGAATAGATATAAATGAAACAAAATGGAACGAAATAAGACGTAGAATAAACAGTTACCTTTATGAACATAAACGGCACAACACAAGAGCAAGCGGGATGTGCGTTACTCAACCGGCGACGTTGGGCAGTTCTATACTTAACACCACTAGCCATGGCGTCTCGCGTAGTACATTTTAGTTCCACGGCCGTGGTATTTCGTCCAGTTCTAACTAGTCCACTTCTCCGATTGTGTTTGTGATTGTGTTTGTGACACAGTGAACGTGCTTCTTGCTGGATCCTGTAAGTGGCCACAGGGCGTGATGTTGTGACGATTGATTACAACCGGCTTGTGCACACGCAAGAAAAAAAAAACTACGACCAGACTGGTACGAACACTCGTCCAGCAGCACTGCGATGACGTTTTTTTTTTTTTTAATGTGCTCATTTGGACAATCGTGATGCCAAGTGATTCTGATGCGGTGCTGGGAACTTCCTGAAAAGTGAGAGTTCTACTGGTGAGGTGTCTCGAAGCAGCGCGTTTCGGCTCAAGCGGGAACTGGTCAAGAGTGAAATGTTTCTGAAGGTGCGTTGATTACAACCTACAGCTGTTCTATATACGTGCATACCCACATGTATTTGTACCAACTGGCATGCACTAGACACGCATTAGACGCGCGCCTGGCGTTTCAATAAAAACCGACAAGTGAACTCGCTTCGCAGATCCGCGTCGACATACGTTGACGGAGTTGCACGAAAGCATTCGCGTGAAATGGTTCATAGTTGCACTTCATGGTGCGCTTCATCTCGGAAAGCACGAGGCAAGTTGAAGAGAGCGAAACCATTTTCTGTTGTTTACGGCAACGCAGCATTGCTGAAAAACGCAGATGTTGCATTGAACGAGCATGGCGAAACAATCTTGGTCGACTTAGCGCACACCGAAACGCTCCTCCTCTTCAGTTTATGTTCTGGCTACGATTTTGTCTTTGGTCACGGCGAGAATCCGGCTGGAGCCATATGCGCATGCGTAATCGTTTTGAACCTTTTGCATAATAATAAATAACACCACCAGCCATTTGCAAGATCACGTGCAAGTAATGCACCAATTAAGACGCGGATGACAGAGAAATAAGAGGAGTAATCGAAAGAGTGAGGAGGACGGCTCGAGAACAATGAGTGACGCTACCTTGTTTCATCTAGGGACCTTAGGCTTACCCCATCCACAGCGCCCACTAGTGTTGCTCAAGCTTCAGCGTTCATACTTGTTCGATTGTCAATCAAAAAACAATTATTATCAAAAAACCATAACAAGACGTATATATTCTGCATGTGCATCTTTTACTAGAAAAGGCACACATAGGTAATTCTAAGCGTTTATCACGCTGCGCTGATTATGCAACGCTTGCACGAAAAGGCGAGCGTTTCCAACGCTTTGCTAAGACGACACGGTGGTGGCACCTACCAGTCACTTTGCGTTCTACACCTTATCACCTGTTCGTCTCAGTGCCTCGCGCTTCGTTTTCAAAAAAAAAAAAAAACTGCCATATGGCGCTCATGTCTCACGTGTGACGTGACTTGATGCGCTCGTTCGCCTACCCTACACGCTCGAGGCACTCTAACGCAGCGCCTTCAGAATACCATTCACAGATTTTCTTGCGCAGAACATCAAATAAATGTTTTGTTCACTCACTCCACACGAAAGACTCGTGACGACATTTGTAGATTAACATGCAGATACGGGGCCAATTTTTTGTCCCCTACACCTTCCCACACGCAGGAGGCAAGAGCTAGGCCACTTGATGGCGACATTGCGAGCTTGTTTTGCTTCCAGCAAACTACTGCAAGAGCGTCACTTGACTCTGCTGCCTAGGCTTCTCTAGCTTTAACGTGTTTGCCTCGGCCGGTTTTAAGATCAAGTATATTTTTTTCACTTTCATTTCGGGGGCGTACTTTATGGCATGGAAATTTTAGACAACACGGTTACCTTCGGTTGATTGTCCTTTTGGCAAGCAGTTGTCACGTGGTTTTCACCGCTTTTTCCTTCATGTAATCTTTATGTTGTTTCGACGCATGCCTACAAAAAGGCCCGACGTTCGAAATAGTACATCAGTTGAGAGTTCAGTGATGGCTGTGTGTCCTTCATAAGAGTTCAGTCTTTTTTTTTGCGCTGGTAAATTTATTTTAATCGTGAACCTACTCACCCAAGCAGCAGTTTTAGAGAACCCAAAGGTAACGTTAATCCTCAAGCCCACAAAACAGGGAAGGGAGGTGACCCTGCTGAATAGCTCGGAACTAGAAGAATAGCGAACTCCGCGCTCCAGGGCTGCCGTTGTTGGCTGCTGTGCGCCGAATTGGCTACTTTTCAACCCGTTTGGCTACGAAAATTTCCAGTTGGTGCTATGAGTATTTGCTGGCTACGTTTAAATTTCCCATATTTTACTTATTCAAATGGTATCATTTATTTATCAAGAGTAAGGACTCCATACACATCACTCTTGCTCCATTTTGCTACCCATTTGGCGGCATTATTAAATGACATGGCTACTTCGGCTACACTTCGGTTGAGTTCTGGCGCCTTTTCAATTGGCACCCAACGGCAACTATGCTTTGATCCTGCTGGCACGGACGGTGCGGCTTCGAATAATGACGTCCCGCACTGGGGATGTCGACTATAGCCCAGCGTGGATAAGGAATATCTGGCATCGCCAATTTAAATAGAGGTTTTTCCTACTCCTCCACTATGGTGTGGCCTGAGAACAAGCAGAGAGATAGAGACGAAAAAAAAAATCGCAGCATATCCACGAAATGAATGTTGAGTCGGGCAAAGCGGACAGACGCACGGAAGCATGGACGTTTCGCCCCACTAGTCATCATTCCCTCCGTGGATATTCTGCGACGTTTTTGCAGTGCAGCCGACTACTACGGGGACTACAACGACACGGGACATGCGACCCACAGCATGAGGAGCTTCGCCCCTAAAAAAGAACTCGTTACCTAGGCGGGATTCGAACCCACGTTCCCTTTCGCCGAAGCTGAGCGTCTTAACCACACGGCAAGTTTTTTTTCTTATATCCGGTTGGACGTCACACACAAGGGGCGAAGAGAATTATGTCACACTACACGATAAACATGACACAACAAACGCTACCATGAAAGAGGAATAAACATCCGTTATTTAAATGACAAACGTAGGTTTCCGTGGGTGGAGCCCATATTCCAGGGCCCCACTGGCACGAGCGGCTCACTTGGCCTGGTCCAATGTTGCTGCTGCCTTCCCAGGTCCTGCCAGGTGAATCGCATCTCCCCCAACCTTTCAATTTCCCTGCGTGTGATGAGGGGTGAGTTGCCCTCTGTTGGTCTTTGCCGGCAAATCCAAGTGATCTAAGCGAGTGTTGAGGTACTGCCGCACCAAGGCCGGCCGTCAGCATATAGGGATGGTCAAATTTTGCTGAGTATGTTGGAATTAGTGTTTGTCTATAATCGCCTTCAGTCTCTGGATTGCCAGCTGGTGGCACCATTGTCTGCCTGGGCTCGTCTTTGGCTCTCGAGGATATCTTGTGGCAGCGTAGGTATGAAGTAATCCACCCGGTCGGTCATGTCCTGCAGCTCAGAAAATTAATGCTCGAGCTAGGCGGTCCGCCCGTTTGTTTCCCCCTACACCTTTTGTGAGCTGGGCACGAATGCGACTGCCGTGCTCTTCTCGGCTCCACTGTGAGACGTACGGCATGTGTGATTGTGATATTTCACTCTCTCGACGCGCGGCTTCTGGGAAATGAAGGACCGCGAATTGAAACAATGCGATTCAATGCATGTTTAATGCAATGCTTCAAGTACTGATGTAAAATTGCTATAGGTACAAATACAACAGAAAATACCAGACCTATTCTCAGACAAGCTGGCTTCGTAACATACATCGCAACACATTCATTGTTACCATGGTCCAGCACAGCAACCTCCATGATCACAGCTACGAGAATGCCTACATTTATAGTAGACAAACACAATCGTGGAGAAATGAAAGACATAAAGAAAGGGAGAGTTTTGGCTATGTAGCTGTAAAATTTGACTACTTTGTGACGAAGTATTGCACCGGGATGAAATAAATTGATATCCCTCTCTGTCATGGATTCCATATGAAAAATTGTAATTTCGTTTTGCATATTTTTGATACCTTGATACGTCTGCATACTTAAATTAATAAAATATTTAAGTTACAGAAGTAAACATTGAACATTTCAGCAGGAATTAAGTGGCGATTCAGCCTGTGCATTCAGTGTGGTTCATACAAGAAATTTGCAAACTCGTCTAGCGGCATTTCGAAAATTAAACCAAGGACTAACGTCTTTGTCTCAGCAAGTCTGGTATTCCAGAAGCTTCTGGCTAGACAAAGAACAAAACACATGCTTTCACACCTCTCTTGTTCAATCTCGGAGGAGTGCTAGAGCTCAATCAGCAGAATAAGTAAAATATTTATTACGCCCATGGCATCACTCCATCGTTGCAGCAAGCTGTCAAGCCCAATCCCACCTGTATGCCCTTTGCATGAAACCGTTTCAATTTTTAAATAGTATTAGTACACACACACAACACATGTGCACATTCCACATTTTTCAACTTCTCAGTACGAGAGCTGGGAACATAACATGACTGTACGGGTAGAGGCGCTGCATTTACAGTACGATGGGAAAGACATAATATTGGCCTTAGTAGGGACAACAAATGCATGAATTACATCACGTAGCAATACATAAAAGAAAGGAGCAAGCACAGGGGTAAAACAATACCGAAAAAAATGCAACGGCAATAGACAGATGTGTAGTGAAATCGAGGAGATTAAGTATATGTACAGCACGTGGCTAACACCGTATGTTATGGCCAACAGTTTAATGTAGGCCTGTGGGGTTATGCGGTTGTTTATATATTCATGCTAATATTACACCATTAGAAATAGCTTCTACACGTATTTAAAGTCTTCGAAATGTCGAAGTATTCACACTCGTAAACGAATTTCACGGCAGATAACCCACCCAAAAAGGTCGTTTCACTGCAATATAGAGTTGCTATGCCATGAAACTTAAAGTGATAAAAAAATTGCACAGCCGCGAAGCCACACCTCTCGTGTAAGTGTGCATATCAGTTGCACCTCTGCTAATAGTTCTTAAAGTTTAAAAAGTGTTATGCACGCTTTCATGAGTCACGTAAAGCGGACTTTAATGTGTAACTTATTTCACCTTGTATATCTTGCACCCAACTACTATACAAGTCCTGTCCATTCACTTTGAAGTTCTTATACTAATTGTCACAACGTCTTCTCTTCCAACCAAGAAAGCGATATTCGCCCAAGCCTAGTTTAATGCTCTGCAGGACCACATGCAGTGTAGGGCTCAGGCAAAACAGTACTTCACACTTCAACAGCCTTCAACAGAAAGCCAAAGTATGTACAGTTTCTATCACATGTGCACGAAGGAAAGGCCAGAGTAAAAATGCCACTGCCCAACAAGAAAAAAAAAAACATTGCAAAGTAAAGCTCAAAATCGCAAAGCTTGCCAGGCACTAAAGCAGCAGCAGCTGGCCTCGGGTGTGGACGACTTAAACATCAACTGTCAATGCAGCAAATATAGTAAACGAACTGCAGTCTTATTGCACTGCCACTGTGAAGATTGTACATTTTCACACAGCTGCGGCCATAAAAACATGTAAATAAAGACACAGCACCGGGATACTCATTGCCAAACATTATTGCTTCTCATCTACGAGCTGTACTACTATGTACACGTGTCCATGATGATTGTTTTTCACATGACAAAAGGCTAGGGGCCTTGCCTCAATGTGCCTCAGTTGCCTATTGTACGAAATGTGAACAACTGACTTCTGCACCATCAAATGAATTGGCTGGCAACCATTTTATGCTTATGTTATATAAAAAATAAATAATAAATAAAACGACTTATGATCTTACTGCATCATCATCATCATCAGCCTGACTGAGCAGGGTGAAGGCCTCTCCCATTTTCAAGCAATCAACTCAGTTCTGTGCTTGGTGCAGCCTTGTTATACCCATGAAATTCTTTTATTCTCATTAGCCCTTTTAACTTTGTCTTCCCATTGCGCATGATTACACGGCCTTACTCCAACACCTCGCAAATAGAGTTAACAGGTTATGGTACTCCTTTGCTTTTAGCTCTTTCAACAGTACTCTTAAGAAGATTCTGCATGTATTAACAAAGTCGGAGCTTGCAATAATCTTGTTGCCATAGGATGCGACTCTGGCACACACCGAAAATGCACAGTGAAATTACTATAAACTGGAAAGTGCAGAGTCCCTTCACTTTTCATGTGTAGCAATTACATGACACACTACCAGGACAGCCTTCTATGCATAGAAAGGACAGTAGGAAGATTCAACAGCATGCTTGTTTCCATGGCAACTTAGACAGGCCAAACTATACCAGGCATTGCTGACACTTCGATAATCGTAGCTGATGCAAACAATTGCGCTTAAGAAAACGAAAAAGCACCCGTGTTGAGTGGAAATACACTTTATGATCCGACACTTGACGCTTGAATGCTTGTGCTTCAATTACAGGCTGACGTAATATTCAAAGAACTAAGGCAAAAACACGAGCTTTGGCAAGTGTTTCATTGCGTTTTTTCAAAGTAAACTAACATCTAACAAACCATACTAACACAACAACATCAAGGGGCTTGCGCAGCAACAGCCCTTACAACTTGGCGTTGTGAAAGCAAGCCCACATTTTCAGCACCTACACTGAGAGCAATAGCAACTGATTATTCAAAACAGGGACACGTGTGCACAGGATTCCGGCAGTAAAACCCCTGCAAAGCCAGCCAAAATGTGGAAGCCATTCAATCTGTGGCACTAAACTCCCAGGGTATAAAATCTACGGCTCTAACTTTACTGCTGCACTAGCACTTTTCGTGTAAAAATAGTGTTCATTGCTCCGAGCGGAATCAGTGCTTTGTGATGCGACAAGGGCTTACACTTACAGCTGTTGCAATGTTTTTATGCCTGCAAGTGAAATAAACAAAACAACAAAAACAATTCATCTCTACTCTACTGTACAGGGAAGTGATTCCTAGAAATAATGGAAGGGCATTCGCTGCAGTGTTACCAGTGCCTAAATATTGACCAGTAATATAGCTGCGTGGCTGTTTCATTTTAATAGTGAAAGTGTTGAAAAGAACAGCTTGAAAATAATACAGATAAACGAGATTGGCCTGCTAAATTGCCCCTTCAGTGTGAATTTAAAGACGAAATATTTAGAATTTACAAATGAGAGACCATAACAGACTAGAATTTGTGTTGCACATTATTCAGTACATAGCTAGTCTTAAGTATCTAGTATGCAGCTGCAGATGTACCCTTGTGGTGCCACCAGTAGAAAATGCATATAAACTAAGCTGTGGTACAAGTCCTTATGGATGACAAGGTTAAATATGGAGGATGATGGTGTTAGCATTTGTAGTTGTCAAGCTCAACAGATTTATGTACTCTATGCAATGTTCCATTTATCCCAGCAATCGCTGGATGTTCCGAATTGAGTCTGAAAAACTGCCAGGTTTGCCCCTGTACTATGAGAACAACTTTCACTCATGGAAAGAAATAGCCTTAGAGAATATAGCAAGAAAGTGATAATGTCGACCTAACACATGGTGGAGAAGTAGTCTGATAGTGTAGTGGATTCAGCAGACATGACTCATGTAGAATTGCATCAGCTGCAGCACATTTTATGAAGAAGCAGTTTGAGTACGGGCAAAATTTATGCTGAATACTAAGAATTCCAGTAACATTAAAAGATCAAGCTGGAAAAGAAAATGTTGCGGATGAAATTTTCCTGGCAATACCTGCGCTAAACATTACTGCTTAGGAAGGCCTCCCAAATAAAACAAAATCATGAAACTATAAAACGAACTTTCAGGAATGATAAATAAAATTATGCCTGCAACTTTTTTGGCCCATTTATTTATTGCTTTGAAAAGATGCCAGCAAACTTCAGTGAATTGGAAGAACAAAGGAATACAGAAATAAAATAAACAAATTATTGATTGCAAATTTTGTTCCATTGTGCTATTTGTGATAATGAGAAATAGCTGTGGTAAGATACAAGGTTGCATTCAAAAGAGACAAAACTTTTGATGCTCCTGGTGTGAAGCTAAGATGAACTGGCATCTTGCGAGAAACTCAAGCAAACGGAGCAAGCAGATGGGGGTACCCTGTGTAGGATATTGTTTCTTTACAAAGTACATAAACAGTGAAATCAGATCAAGAGAGTAAAACAAACATATGCTTGTGTATGAACAATTAGTGCAATATATTAGTATAACAAATTAATAAAATTATCTCTAGCGATTCACTTGTTACATAGATTTATCATCTCCAGTGGAGAAAAGAAGTCTCGAAGGAATCCATTAGTTGAATACAGAGCTGTACATAGCAAGCCACAAGTTTCAATGCTGTACCTCAAGCCGTGCTTTGGCCTCAATAAAATGGCATCCTTGATGCACCAGTCAAGGGCCTGTCCTCTTACTCAACAGCTCCTCAGTACTGCCACATTGCATTGAGAACTTAAGACATTAAATTAGGTCAAGTGAGGTAAATCTTTACCGTGGTGCTGTTTTACTAAAGTTTTACGGCAGTTAGCACCTACACATACAGAAGTTGTTTTACATGACTACTGGTCAAAGAACTTCATGTGTTTCGAACAGAAAAAATGATCAAACTTGGATATGTATACAAGTATTCATGATATCGAACAGTTTTAACGTCCCCTTTAAAATCCAACCAAAGGAAGTAGTGAACTATCTGTACTGTAGTCCACAATTGATATATATATAAACACTGGCCACAAACTACAATCGCTGCTACCTTTACCACATTTTTGGTACAGCCTGTTTTGACACATGCAAAAATGTGTATCTTCTATAAGTTATCAGGTTTCAAGGTTCTTGTTTTCTTGAAGCTTGTGAGGTCTATGTGTCCTGCTCACGAAAAATCCATCACATGAAATGTTCATGCCAAGGCCAATGAATGGAATGAGAAACTTGTTGCAGTTACATTACTTGTTGCATTACATGCATTCATTGTTCATGAAATAGGTGGTAAAAAATCATTAAGGCTTCCACTGTCAGCAATCATTTAGAGTGTGTACAGTGCAATGTTTAAAGCTTGAGGAAAGGATCTCGGCCATTTTGTTAAAAAATGCTTCAGTCAAAACACTGCACCAAGAAACCTGAACCTAAAGCATATTCATCATCTGCTTTCAAAGTGGTATTACTAGTCCCTGAAGTGAATTAACTAAGCAGCCTTAACTGTTTATATATCAATGATGTATGGTTATTGTGTTAGAGAAAACTGCATGACAATTGAGGTGCCAGCACTATCTTCAGTCAGAAAGCTAGAATGTACTGGAGCTTTTCTTTCTCATCCTCTAGCAAGCTGGAAGCATTTGACACTGACAGTTCGAGAAATGCTGTGATCAAATACTTCATGTTTGAGAAGCAGAACAACTCAACAACCTGGAAACTGGCTTTGCCTTGGTTTCAAATGAATGGAAGTTGGAATTATGACAAACATAATGCAATGTTTACTAGTAACTATCCTGCCTAGTTGAAAATGTTGAAAAGACAAAGAGAGGAGAGTGTCCTTAGTGTTACCTTTCCCTGCAGTTCAATTGAGAAGCATCTACACAAATTCCCATGGTTTCATAAGATTTCTATAACTCACACACAAGTAATATGGATTTCCCTATTGATACACTGTTTCCAGGACAACCGTGAATATTGGAGCTCATCCTGGACACTTCAGGAAGGATGACGGAACCAAGCATGGCATTCACTACAACTTCATGGCAACTGAGCTAAAGACTAAGAGAAGCCGAGCTTGCCCATTGTTACTTAACAAGCACATGTTAAATTGGGGAAAGAGCCAGCCAAAATAGTGGCAGAGGAATGCAGGTACGCAGCAGGTACAGTTTGGGTAGTGACCCAGTGTTTTCTGCACAAATGCCTCACATGACAATAAAACTGCGGCACATGTAAGAGAAGAGTGGAGTCCATTCAATGCAATGAACAACAAGAACCATGCAACAAGGCACTTCACACACAAAGCACTACATTTCTTGCAGCCCCAGTAAGACTTGCTGTTATTGCAGAGCTCAAACGAGGATGAGTCTGCACACTACACTCAAGAGAGATTAAGCCTGGTAAAATGGCTGCAAGATGAAAGCATTGGGAGATATACTGCCCTAGATATAAAAACGCATCAGAGATAGTCACTCGCATCATAGGGGAATGATCACTTTTGGGGATACAGTTTTGGTGTCAAGAGGCTGAATTGGACATTCTGGGAAATGCGATTTCGTATGTGCAGAAATTTGTGCTACGAGAGTTATTCACCTCCTGAATCATCAGCAGCTAGCTGCACTGAAGGAATGCTGACAAAACCTATGAAATAAGGTTGAAGAAAATGTGATAAAGTATGCTAAGAAAACACGGTAAACATTACTACACTTCGGTATTGTAAAAGTGTCGCTAAGAGGAAGGTGAAAAAGAAAAGAACAAGTTAAGAAAGCTCAGTCGTGTTAATTTTAATAAAGCTGTGAAGTCTGCTCTGCATGGTATAGCACACTACTTCACAAGTATTTTTTAAATACAGAACAACAGAATTTTCCCACTGATTATATTGTGGGGCACCCCAAATCGCACCAATATTTATAGACAATTTCAGAGTCAAATAGAACATCTGCTGGACATTGAGGTTATACTATGAATATTGTATTTGAATGCTTTTGCAGTCTAAATGTGAATAGCGGCTCTCAAAGAAGCTTTGGCTTTCAACTATTCTTCCCAAATGCTTCTTCATATGATCGTTATAAGCTAAAGATATGTAGTCTAATGTCATATACTCATGCTTAAGTTGGACTCCATAGCAGTCAGTGCATAGTGCCATTCCAGACTAATAAAGTGCCCAGAGATTGCCCTGATCAGCATATAATTTAGGATTTCATGGTACTTTCATTTTCTCCAGTGTACCGGTAGATACAGTCAACTGATGCAAATATTTGGACATTTCACACTCGTGCCACACTGTCAATCAAAAATGAGAGGCAGTACTTCAATAAACTTCAGACTAGAACGGGCTACCTTGGTGTTAATACTGTGAGCTGTCTGACGCACGTAAACACCTAATTTGTCTCTTCTGTTCTTGACAGCTTGGCCGTATGAATGGTAAGACCGTACCATCAAAATTTTGCTAATACTTTTTGAGCATGAGCCACTGTAAAGTAATGCTACAAGAGAAGCACTGAGAATACTCTGCCAAAAGTGATCATTTAATACAGAGCCCACATGTAACGGCGAGCCCCTAGATGCGTCCAAATTTCCTTCTATGCACTAAGTCCAGAAAGTAATAAGTTACAATGATGCAGCTTCTGCCAAAACTGCAGAGGCAGAGAGAGATATAGCCACTGTGAAGCACAGCAGATGACGAACTGACCATGAAACAGCCTAGTCTCTCCGTGCTGAGCGCTTACAAAGAGATTGTGCTTAACAGGTAAGCCGATGAACAATGGTTACTATACGATACGATGAGTCAGCACAACCCTAGTATTAGCGCTTCCTTCGCAGACGCCACTTGAGGATGAGAAAAGCGGCAAGACGGTAGAAGAGGTCCATGGCGAGGAGAATGAGGAACTTGTGGGAGATGTCGATGTTCTCAACATCTAGGTGCCTGAGAACCTCTTCGGGGTCACTGAGGAAGCAGAGCTCGTCCTCCTCGCAGTCGAGCTCCGCACGCCCACGGCCATACAAGGCTTCCAGAACTCCCTGCATGCCGTGGTATAGGTGCTGAAGTCTCCATGATCCAGCGGAATGCCACTGGAATGTGCCGCGCTTGCACGAAGAAGCCCGAGAAAAGGAACGACGGTGATGCCACGGGCAGCACCAAAAACACTGCTGTCTGCAAGCAGAATGGAGAATGACAGATCAGAATGAACGTGACTGCAGCTCAATTGCGCTCGAATAAAAAAGCATTGTAACTAAGGCAAACACCTGTAACTTCTGTTTAATGTATATTTAACTACGCAATTACTGATTATCGTGAGCTCAGCCGAAGAACATGCAACACTATTGTGATAGTGTTAAAGACCTCGTTTTGCAGGAATTACAGTGTAGGCGTCATTGGTTGCGAGAGAAAAATCAGTGTTGACCGTCAGAGATAGGTCAAACTAGATTAAAATGAATAATAAATATATTCAGTTCAAGTGGAACCACAGAGTCGCGCTTGTGCCTGAAACTGTGTCAGGAATAATGCCCTATACGAATGTCATGTAGTGTGATGTGTCTCCTCAACAATGTAATTTGATAGTGCAGAAGCTTAGAATCAAAACAGGCGTCAAAACATGGGAATTGTGCAACATGTCATTCAGTTTAATGGCTGACTAATAGCAAAATGAATAAGCATAATTAATTATCATTATTGGCAACATCAGCCAAGCGAGGCAGATAAAAAGAAAGAATTGGCAGTTCCGTGTACGAATACAACTGTTGAGCGAAGCTCCTTAAAAATGGGACGCAAGTGACGATGCGGTCAGTGGAGGGAACGACTAAATGAGTGAGTGTGCAGTGCGCGCCGTGTGCACCATCTGTCGCAGCACTTGCACTCCTACTGCGATGGGAGCGTGCACCTGTTTTGCTCGGCATGGTTGCCCAGTGCAGGGAGCTTCGCCAGCGATAGCAGAGATGGCGGGGTGTGAGCCTAGCGAACTTTGCTCCTAAAAAAAAACCACTGCAGCGCTGCTCGGCCTTGCCGAGTGGGAGAGGAGAGGAAACTTTCGCACTGGCACCACTTGGCTCCTTATGCTCGCTTACTAGCCGCCACACGTCCGCATGGCGTGTGCGATCGCTTCCTCATCGAGTGTGTTTTGAGTTTCCTGCTGGCAAAAGCAACGTCGTCATCACGCTTGCTACTTCGTACTTAAATTTAAGCTTTATGGTTTTATGTTGCAAGCTTTTGTGCATGGACTTGCATTATCCTAGTGTGGACTTTGTCATCGTTGATCTCCAGACTGCAAATTCAAATTTCGTATTACGCACGCTGCTCAGATCAGTGCTTGTGTGTAATCTTTTCGATGCCTGATCTTCCATGTTGTCCTAAACAAACTTCCCGCAGCAACATATCAAATGGAAGGCTAGGACTGATGACTGATGAACTTTGTTCGTTTTTTTGTAGTGGTGACAAACCAGGAGCGTAGGCAGCAGATAAATTTTTGTGGGGGCAGGGGTATCTTTTTGAAAATGGTCATTTTTCGCTCTGAATGCCATGGAAGAAAAAAGTTTCCAGGGGGAGTAGGGTACAGGTCCCGATGTGGCACGCCCTGCCTGTGCCACTGTCCCTAACTATCGAAGTTGTGGTTTGGTATGGAATGAACAAAACCCCTTGTGATGGCTGCATTTGATGGAGAGGGATATCCATCTTTAAGGAAAACAATATGAGTGGCACGTGTAACACTCAAATGGTGGTTCGGGACTCAATTGCTATGTCTTGAAATTGACTGTGCATCCGCCAAATTGACGGATCGGTACCGTTCTCCACATGAAACTTTGGTCATGCATAGTTTCTGTGAAATGCAGATAATCAAGGTGGTCTGCAAGATAGTCGGCGGATTTTTGCAATGGTGCTTTCTTATATTAGTTCCATTCTTCAGCAACCCCTCCATTATCATTCATGTCATTGGCAACTTGGGTCTTCAGATGCTAATTTTTTAGCATTTAGAAATTTAAACGGTTCAATATGTCGTGAATTGCATGCCTCGACTCGGACAGGTGACGCTGCATGCTCAAGATGTTTTGCCCAATGTTCTGCCCAAGAACAGCCTTTCGAAAAGGCTGTTTTTGGCTGTTTTGCTTATAGTGTGGTACCGCTTATAGTGCAGATATTTCCAACTCCCATGGCTTACGTTATAAGCAGTCTATGCTGTAATCAGGGGTGGAACAGGGTACATGGGTTTGGGAGTAGTCCTAGGAGCAGGAAAAAGTGCCTTTTGTAGCAGGCTTGGCGCGTCAAAAAAGACGTCTTGGAGCACGCTTGGAGTGGCCAGAAGGGCCTTTTTAAGCAAGTTTGGAGCAGTCAGAGAGAATGCTCAGAGAAGATGTTGCCCCGTGACAAAGCGCTTGTAAAGCAAGATTTGCCCAATGCTGCCTTTTTAAAACTTTAACTAAAATGTGCGATAGTTTTATTATTGAGATAGAAATCACTCTCAACGGGTTTTCGTAGTTGCCGTCATGTCCCGTATAAAGTCCAAATTTATAACATATCCCAGTGCATTGTATGTTCTACACGCTGGGGTAAAGCACGCGAGGGGGGAAACAAGTGTGGCTGAAGCAGTGATCAAACGAACCGGCCCTTCTCTATCACCCGGAGGGCTTGTACGGCAACACCACCTCGCTTGCGAGGCCTGCCGTCGGAGCAGAGAGGAAACACACTGCCCAGTTGAACGAGCATGAAATGAAAAGATGCGAGAGGAGGGTTAGAGGGAGGGGGTGTTGCTCGAGTAGTACATTCCAAGCTCGGGCAGCAACTGTGAACTTTGCTTTTAGTGGCGCGATCGCTGGCGTGCGTGCTAGCTCGACAGAAATCAGCGGGCAGCGCGCATACACTTTAGCATGCAGCGCTTTTATTGCGAAGAGGTTGTGCGAAGACTGTAGCTCACCTTCGAGTGGCCATGCTATTTTTACACCAGCAGTTTGTACTACTCTTATGAGATTGGATCCAAAGTTCATTGCTATCAAATTTATTAGGTACTTTACTCTTGAGATTAAGCTGTAATTGTTTTAGCTATGTAAAGCTGCCCCATAGTTAACTCTGACAGCATGAACATCAACCGGCTGAACAGCAGCAGAGTCAATAATCACTGCTTAACGGAGCACAGCGGCGAAATCAATGAGAATACGCGTGTGCGCTCGACGAGCAGTCTTGTGCTTCTGTCTTTGCTATGTAGGAATCGAACTCCGCCGCCACTTCCTTTGAGCACTTTTTTTTTCTCTGAGTGCTGCCATCAAGTTATAAAAAAGCAAAGTTCCACTGCTACAGCAAAGCAATGAATGCATAGCAACAAATTGTAATGTTATACGAAGTAGGACTGGCAGATAACTTTTTGGATCTGATATCGCGTAACTCTCCAAAACGCTGGTATACGATAATATGGCTGTGCCAAGGTGAGATGCTCTTTCCGTAGTATTTTCGCGTTAAGAAAGCAGCACGTCGAAGGGTCCACGAGCAATTCGTGCTGATGTCTGCTGAATTAGCGTGCGTACAAGCGATCGCGACCACGCCTTCAAATCAAGGTGCACAGCTGTTGCTGCTCGAGCTATCAGTCTTGATGAAACTGAAACTGTAACAGTTTCGAAGATAACAAAAACAAAATGTTTTGGCTACGTTTTTTGGCATGGGACTTGATGGCTATTTCGTCTAGCGGCTAAAATTCGGGTTCTACAGGGCAATACGGTGCAAGATGGCACAGGGTGTCCAAGTTTGGCGCGCAATGGCCCAGCTATTCTACCCCTGTTGTATCACTCACGAGATGCCATTTTGATTTTTCTCCCAAGGGTAATTGTTGCTGCTGTGGTATCTTGGACTGTCTACTTCTGTTTTTAGTTTTATCATCTTTACACCTACAGTTATTTTTCTTGTTGAGTAAGAAATTAAGGTGTTCAACTCTCTTCCTCTCTCAAGTAATGCATGCCCAAGCACTGCTACTCGTGCAATTCACTCATTAGTAGCAAAGTTTTCAAAGGTGCCATAATATGCTAAATCGGGATAGCTCTGTGAATAATGCCCGCATTCTGTCTTAAGCTTTTTTTGGCTAGTATGCATTACAACCTGGTATTATCGATGGTGTTCAGTACCTGTATGCTGCTCAATGCCGAGACCACAAGAGCCAGTCCCTGGGAGACAGATCCCACTTGTATGACAAACAAGATCACAGTTGCAGCACGCCACATCTCTTGTGGCTGTCCTGTTGTCCAGTACAGCAATGACATCATAGCAAGCGGGCCAAAGATCTGGAAGAAGTTAAGAAGTAAATGCTGCACTCAACGGGCAATCTGATTTCCGAGGTCATCATAGAAGTAAACTCTACTGAAGCCTTACAGCTACGTATTACAGAAACACATTAAAAAGGAAAGTTCTTCAGAGATGTATTTCAGGAATCTGAGAACTAATGCACCAAAGAAACCCAGGGTGTTAAGTGAGCTATCAATGAGTAGTACTAGGGTACTGTTAGCAAGCTTAGTCTCACTTGTACAGCTGTCCTAATGTGATTGGGCAGTAGAGTTATCATGAGATTTTAAATGCCAGTTCATTTTTAAATGGCAGTGGGCATTCCAAATCGTCATAATATAAAAGGTTAGAGAACAAAATAATTTTTTAAAATGTAGTTTCTAATGCCCTGAATGCCCCATACTTGACTGAGTAAATGTTTGGAGACCCTCATTTAGACACACTTACTATCCTGTGGTCAAAGGTATAAACTAAGGCTTGTGTGAATAGTGATTTCGGTCGAATAATTTTGAATCTAATTCGAATAGTATATATAGGGTATTAAAAAGGAATGGACATTTTGTCATGACCAAACTAACCTGCACAATACTTTTTAAAAGCTGAAATCGGGCCTGTGCAAATGCCATTATTTTTATTTCAACGAAAGTAGCAATGCAACAAGATCCGACTTTCAGTAGAATGCAAGTGATAACCTGTAAAACATGTTACGTTTTAAAATTTACCATACTAAAAAAAAGCTTTTAAATTTTGAAAATGATGAATCGATGTGAGGGTAATATGTTCATTTGACCTTTAAGTAAGGCTATGTGGCGGAGCGGAATTCCCTTGGATAGGTGTTTTCACGGCTTAGTAATCTTCTACTGCAGTGAGACCACTTTTACAAGGATCACATGCTGACTAATGTATATTTTTATAGGTGCTTTCATGACTTAGCACACCTTCATAGCATAGAGAGAATTGTTACAGGTGAGTTACATGCCGAATATTTGCATCTATTAGATTAATTTGAATACTTCAAAATTTTCAACAATTCAAATTCGAATCGAAGTGAATTTGAATACACTACTATTCATTTTAATACTCAAGGTAATCGAATATTTGCTCAAGCCTAGTATAAATATACATTTATACATTTCATGCTGTGTAAACAAACAAACAAAAAAGCAGATAGAGGATTTGATGAAGCCGTATTATGGAAGATTTACCCTGTATTCAGGAACACTCCTTGACTTGAACGTGACTTGCCACCCCTTTCAACTCAGTGCGCTTGAAAAGCGTTCGTGCAGCCGTGGCACCGCCTAAGGCATTGCGTTCGAAACACATTTGTGCAGCATTGAAGGTGATGGCTAGTCTAATTCAAGTTAAAGAAAGTTTCTAAGTACGAAGGTTAAGTTCCTTTCCCTAGTTAAAACTCTTTGACATACACACAAGACTGCATTTGCAAGTTCCCTGGTATCACATGCCCATGTACTGAATATGTGCTTGTGAATGCACTAAATCGATGAGGCACTAAAGAAATACACAAGACACTGTACTCATCGAATGACACTTTTGAGTGAAAGTGTGCAAGTTGCCAGAACGAGAATTTGGCAGGTTTGCACATTCGGCGATACTACTATAGCCAAGCTTATGTTACGTGCCATGTTGAATTGGTGGCTGTAATACCTTGCTGCTGAGCGTAAGATGTTGGTAGAAGCCCAATTAGAATTACCATATTCCAATAGCAGTCAGAGTGCCCTAACATTCGTGTAGTTAGACTTAAAAGCACATTAAAGAACTGCAACTTTAGGCAGCTAAATGACTCCGAAGTCTCTCGCTATGTTGAGTCTTATTGACTAGGCATCGCATCTCATTGGCTAGGCATCGTAGAAATTATTCTTATTTGTAAAATTGTCACTCAAAAACAATTTGCTTACCAGTGCAGCTCTGAATAAAATATGTGCTCTAGAAAACCGCCAGTAGACTAAAGCATATGACAGAGTGATTTCTCCCAACTTACCGTAAAAGGAAGTTCTGTAATTATCCTAGCTATGTAGTACATGAATGGGCTGTACCAACAGTTTCGGTGCTCTCTTAGCAGCACGGTTAACTCTGTGGGAACTGTGGATCAAGAAAAGAAAAGACAAGAAAGTTTATGAAAAGGTATTATAGTATCCAAAAGTTATAAGTGCGCTCAGAATGAGGAAAATGCGTCAAACAGAATTTCACACTCTAAACAAATGATAACGTTTACAGAACTTTCTCTTACACGCTCGGCTCAAGATTATGCAGCCTCACTCTTGACTAACATTCCACCCCAAGTGGCTAGTAAAAGCCCTGCAGGGTTATAATTGTTATGGTCATATCTCGTGCAGTGCCCTTGTCTAGTCTTCATAACATGAGAAAATATCAGTCTCCCTTCAACGCACACCCTTCTCTAAAACTTTCTTGTTCTGCTTCAAAACTTTCATATGGTATTGTGATGTCAAAGCCACTATATCCCAAAACATAACTTTTACTTTGTATTCAACCATTTCATCTCAGATGGTGGCAACCTAAGGACATTAAATAAAAACAAATCCTCGGCCTTTACCAATAGTGTCACGATTCAATAACTGCCTTCACTTCAACATGAGGCGACAAGGCTTATGGACACTCGCTTGCCTCCTCCCACGGCAGTTGGCACATGAATTCACTCTTTCCTCTTAAAGATGTGCTTACTATAGGCAATATTATCACTTGAAATGCCACATAAAGTATACATCACTACTTACTGAAAAGGTCGCATCGAAGCATTACATGCAGAGATTTATGTACCGGGTTTTCATAACTAAACTTCATGGCTTTCCTTAAAATTCAGCTCTCGGAGGTAAGAGAAAACTACTTTTGCAAACAAGTCTTGTACCCAAGCGGACACGAACTGAGACAATAGTTGTCGCTGTCAGCAGCCCAATTAGCTAGGATTAAATACCGAACTCATTAGTGACTGCAGCATCCAGGCATGTTTGCACTGAAAAGTTGAATGCAGTCGTGTTCATACAGAATCCACTTGAAAGAACTCTTCTAGTATGTCTGTGCACCGAGATACCTCACTGCAAAATTTCATTGTGGTTTGCATGGTTATGCATGCAAGGCAGTGAGGTTCAGTGTGCTGTGCCTCCCGGATGCGATGAGGAGTGATTCCTTTTTATTGGCACTTGATAGTCTAGGGTAATTGTTATCAATCTTTGCCTAAGCCTTCAATCCATTGTCAGATTAAATTTAGAAGGACCGACAACTTGGTGGCGCCACAAAAATGGTACTTGTGTTTCGTGGTCCTTTCTCGTGGTTTCACCTTACTTTGTGGTGCCGTTTCAGTAGGCAGATTAAATGCCACACATAACTGCCCCAGCACCGAAGGGAAGAGCTCTGTGCCAGCTCCTCACTGCCTTGCATGCGTGTATTCATCCGAACTGCAGTTCATATTTGCCGCAGGAAACCTTGAAGCACAGACTGGCTTGAAGAATTCTTCCAAGTGGAACTGAGAATAAAAGCTCTGAGAAATCGAGATGAAAATTTTTTATGCAATTTTGCTTCAGATCTAAAGTTTTCCTAACCAGCTTTTTATTTGACCTTTCCGCAGTGTTTCGAGTCCTCTGCAACAGTTAATCTGTGTTAATGTGGATGAAAATGCATTTCATATTTTTGATTAATGTGCTTAAACACGACTGCCAATAACTTTTCAATTCGGACATTCCCCCTAACTGCAGTCGCTAGAAAGCTCATAATTCAATCTTAGTTAGCCTGGCTGCTGATAGCAATAATTATAGCCTCATAGGCTTGTGCAAAGAGTGAATTTTAGGTTCGAAGCAAATTCAAAGCCAATAGTGATGTTGGTCGAATAATTTCGAATCCAATAGTATGTATGATATGTTATAAAGTAAAATGGACGTATTTTTCATAATCTTACCCACAAGATATACATAATTTTTAAATTTAAACAAGACCTCTACAAATGCCTTTTTATTTTGATTCAAGGAAAATGGAAATAACTTTAAATTAAATAGTAGCAGGATTTAGCTTTTGGTAGAATGAAAATAATAACCTTAAAAATATGTTACATTTTATTATTCACTAAACTTAAGCATTTAAGCCGGAGCTTTTTAACGTCAAAAATCGTGAATCGATATAAGGGTGATATATTCATTTAGCCTTGAAGTGGGGCTTCGCGGCAGTGCAAATTTTTAATAGACAGATGTTTGCACTGCTTAGCACTTATTCACTGCAGCAAAACCACCTTTACAAAAAGTTACATGCCGATTAGTATACATTTGAGAGAGTGCTTTCACGGTTTGGCCCACGTTTACCGTAGTGAAAACACCTTTACGGGTGTTACAACTGAATCAATATACACTTATTCATTCTTTACAAACACTTCAAAATTTTCAATAACTTAAATTCAAATTGAAGCAAATTAGAATACTGTACTATTCGTTGGAATGTTCGAAGCATTCAAATATTCGCACAAGCCTAATTGCCTCACTTTCTTGTATCCCTCGATACAAGGCTTATCTGTACAAATGGCTTTCATGTGCCTCCAAGAACTGAATTTTAATAAAACTATAAAGCTTATTCTTGACGACTTCATAAAACTAGACATACACAGTTAACTACTACCTCTAGGCTCAAAGAAAGGTACTGCATTCAAAGAATTCAGCAGCGACACCTGTTGTTCAGAAACTCACAAATAAGAACTGTGGGCATGGCCGACTGGAACAGTGCCATGGTGAGGCAAAGCAGGAAAAGGGCAGAGTTGCTGATCACGCGCGTGGCACTGTTGCCCACATCGTAGAACAGCACTGTCATCATGCCCGCTATAAAAATGTATGCCACGAGGCGAAGTAGCGTGGCAACCTGCAAGGATGTCAAACATACAGAAACATGAATACAATAGGCAAGCTGCATCTTGGAATCCTCAAGTGATGTGACTATGACTTTGACTATTGCCATGAATAGCAAAAGAACATCTGGCTCATCTGAATGTACTGAAGAGACTCAAGTGCCTTGCCTCTTGCGTCTGCTTTTACAATATTGCTTTACTTTCACAAACAGTACTCCGATGCTAAGAACAAGCTTTTTTTTTTTTTTACATACAGCATAGACTCCCTTTATGATGAAACCTGCTGTACAACTCTTCTTTTCAATGAGAGAAACAGTGCTCTCTGCTAAAGGAATAATGCAATAGTCAAAGTATGAAGTGAACAATGTAGGGCGATTTTATTTTTCAGTTCACAGACGCCATTTGAGTTTTCCCAGCGAGAAAAAGGGCTTGTTTTTTTGGTTCCGCCGTCTCTATAAAAGGGTAGCTCTAATCTTATCTGAACCAAAGAAGCAAATACAACCTCTAAGTAAAGAGTCAAACTAATTGGACAGCGGACAGCTATCAGCTGAGTAGAATGTGCGCACAAACAAGCTACGTAGTAATTCGTTAGTAATTTAGAGGGACAAATCGTTTGTGCCAGAGTCCATCAGAGATACAGATATTTGTGAGATCTATATCGTAAATATATATACACACAGAAGAGACTCTGCATCCTAACTGCAATATTTCTCTGTGGATATTTCTCGGTTTGTACGAGGAAAGTGTGCCACCTGGTGTGCACGTAGGATACCATACTATTACTTCGATAATAGAAATGTGAAAGAAAAAACATGAAAAAGTGTTCATGATACCTTGTTTCTAATCACGCACAAGAAGCACCGCTTGACGAGCACGACAAATTGGTGAAAGTAGTTGACGTGCACTCGATGCAACTCCATCTCCTCAGCTTTTTCCTGCAAGAAGAACAAAATGAGAGCTGGTTGCTACGGATAACTTCAGAAGCTTCAAGCTTACGTCAATCAACAGGCAACTGCAATGCCGCACAGTGCAGCAAGTGCAGCTTAAACCATGAAAGCACTGGCATGTTGTCAATGCAACTAATCTATCAGCACTTAACAGGCCACTGTTAAGAGGCACCCCAATGAAATGCTACTTATCAATCATGAATCTATCATACAAAAATAGGCCAGCAATTGATCTGTTTGCTACACCTGAGTAGCCAACACTTTATATTTTGAGAATAAAGGCTCCTTTGTTTTGCTCGCTTCGGTCAGCTATCAATTTTTCGATTTCACTACAACGAAATTTTTTATGCGCCTCGTCAGTTTCGTTGTAGCGAGGTTCGACTGTACTCGGCAAAACGATGCATACAGCACCATTGTGAAAATGTGCTCTGTACACTAATACTGACCGTGTAACCACTCTTTCGAAGTGACTTAATTAGTTCAGCAGCCACACTAAACTTCTTCAGACAATAATGTGACTGCCGTAGTTTACTGAATTAAAAACACATTCAAACCAGTCAAGAAAGCTAGCTGCATGACTCGCCGATTTTAACATTTTTGATGCAGAAAAGCTTGGCAGTGGAAGTGACAGCATCTGCAGATGAACCAGTGCCTACCTTCTTGTTCATAGTCTTGCCCCCATATTCGGTAAGCACGGGATGGTCCAGCTTCTTTTCGTTGACCTCTTCTGAATAGTCTGGTGTGAAGGACTTTGCCAACTGCTTGTTTAGGTTGCCATACTCTCCAGACGCAATTTCTGTGACTGAAATACAGAACAAAAAGTTGCAGTAATGCAGACTGTTGAAAAGAGTAAAGCAAGGACAATGGCAGTTTTCAATATTATTTATCATAAAAGCCTGTAACATCGCCAGTGTGCACGGACTAGCACTTATCAAAAACATACTTTAATGTCACAGTTCCTTGACATCATTTTGCATTTATTCTAAAAGGCAAATGCGGTAGCATTAAAGCGCTCATTTTGCAGAAATTCTAGTGGGTTGGTTGTGAGCAAAAAATTGAGAAAGACCCAGATAAAATAACTAAAAAAAATTCCGGGCGAGAGTGAGGATCGAACTTACGTTGTTCGCGTGGCAAGCAGGTGTTATACCACACAGACATGCATTTACTTGAAAATACTTAAAATAACTGCTTGAAAATGCAGTAAAAATAGCTTCCATGACTTACAAACACTTGCATCCTGTATATAGGCCTCGCAATACAACATGTGTAATATGGCAGCAGTACTACGTGGTACAACCGCACATTGTCGTCGAATGTCAGAGCAAGTGATTATCATAAGAAATGATTTTCACTAAGGTTGTGTCAAACAAAGAAGCGAGCCCTAAAAATTTCCTTATTTCAATTTTTCTCCCTTCGCAGTGTCTCTGACAATGACAGCAAGTCATTGTCAGAGTGTGCATGGGGAAACTTCTAGACATCGTCACTCAATGTTCATTCGTGCTCCTGCTGTTTTCACTGATTGTTATAAGTACAGCCTCTTTCCCAGAGGTATCAACGAATGGAATTTCTTGACTGAAGAAGGTGTATCATGATAATTTGTAGATTTATTTTTGAACCACATCGCTCACATTCTCATTTATAGATAACTAAGCGTTATTTTGTGTGTATAAAATCTGGTGCATTTATTTTAACCTGGTTAGCATTTTGCGAGTTCTACTTCATATTGATCCTTTTGAGTAAGCTTCAGTTATACGTGTTAATTTAGCAGTGATTCTAGAATGATTGTTCTTGTTTTCCACTTCTGTAATAGCCCTGGGTAAGGGCTGATAGTATGTCAATAAATAAAATTAAAAAAGTCAACAGGATCAGAGCTGCCAGTGTAAAGCTGTCTTTTCACTGTGAAAGGAGTCTGTCGGGTAAGAACCATACTCACTAAAGTCTGCTGGGTTGTGGTAAATGGGGCAGTGCAGGTTCTGGGTGGAGAGGAAGTTAAGCAGCTTGTCCACTGGTCCATTGTAGATGCACATACCTTCTGATATCATGTAGAGCTGTGAAGTGCAACAAGAGAGAATACAAGTTATGAGCAACGGGCGAGACACCACACACAATAACACATCTATGAAACTTCCACAGGCTAAAAAAATTGTCTATATGCTGACATTTTTTGCACTATTATATAGTCAGATCCCATTTATGTAAGAGTAGTTTAAGCAGAGACATAGGATATGAACGATGTGATAGATTTATTCACTAATAAGCTGACAGTCGGCAAAACAAGGGATGAGCGTATTTGTCTATAATTTAACATATTTGGTCAAGACAGACATCTCATCCTGTACCACAGGATTTTTAACTGCATGCTGGGCATCAAATACTACCATGAAGTTATTTGTTTACCCACCCTATCAAAGTGTGAGAAGAGCTTTGCACTCGGGTTGTGTATAGAGCAGAGCACCGTGTGGCCAGCTGCAGCCAATGTTTTCATCACCTTCACACAGCGAAGTGCAGACATGCTGTCTAGGCCACTGAAATAAACAGATTTACACAAAAAGGTCAGTGGCCCTTGCAGTATCCAAATATAGCCAGGCTTGCTCGTTCAGTTGGCAACCATAGCGGTCAATAAACATGGCACTCAAGCTGGTTATATAGATTCGAACGCGATGCAGTGTGATAACTGCATTGCGTTTGACTCGATCTAAATCCACACAATCCAGAACAATGCCATTGCTACAAGGCTAGTTGCAACCTTTATGGATGCTTTAGTGCACAGCATGTGAAGTTGCTCAGACATTCACAAAGCACAACAATTTTTTTTAGTCAAGGTTTGATGCAGTTCGACAAGCCACATTTTTTCAGTGCATGCAGAGTTGTAGTTGCCAGCAGACTCAACCTGGTGGGCTCATCAAGGAAGATGACTGGAGGGTTGCTGATCAGCTCCTGGGAGATCGCTAGCCTCTTGCGCTGACCGCCGGAGAGACAGCTGGTACGCGTGTGCTGGCATATGTCTAGACCCCATCGCGCCATTGCTTCGTCCACCTGCATTGTAAGGCAGGCTCCAGTTGTGTCAAGCCATTGAACAACTGACCAACCAAAAGTTTTGTCAGAAATGCTAACCATCTAAGTGGGACACTATGCATAAGGGAGCTAAGCTTACATGCATTTTGTGTTCCTGTACCAATGTCTCCAGTATATTTACAGTGCCTGCCAAGCTGCACTGAAGGGAGAATTGAATGAAAGACATTATTTTACTAAATGTTACTATTTTCAGTTATTGAATGCAAACAGCATTTCTTTAGCTAGCATGATGGATTCAGAATGGGTTGACAATCGAGCATTGTGTGATGCTAGCCGTGTATTCACTGCTGAAATGATACATCAGTTGAGTTGTAATCAGTAGGGCAATAAGACGCTTGCTATGTTTTCATGATGCTGATGTAGTGTTGTTGAAATGCTGTTATACTATATTCACATTGACAATCATAAAGGACGTCAGTCAATTACTGCTACAAAGGTGTGGGCACTGTTAATTTGCTGGCAGATTTTTTTTAACACTTCTCATGGTTTTGTAGATTTGCATGTGACAACAAAGAACAATGTAGTTAGAGTAGAATGTGACAAAAGTGGTCTGGGCTCTAGCATTAGAAGTTATAACCGTAGAAGTCCCCGCTGTTACGCTTCTCATTGCTGCTCTTTCCCAGCTGTTACGTCATTTTCTGTCAGCTCCAGCATAGCTTCACCATTGTTACTTCGTAACTGTAGAACTGTTGCCATATGATATGTGAGAAATTGTGCTCCAAGCTGTGGCCGAGTGACTACAGAGAGTGGCTGTGTTGACTGTTCACACAGCTTAGCCTGGCTTGACTGTATAGGCAGCAATAGTGGTGTAAGCAACGTGGGTAAAGTAGTTACGGTGGTCACATACAAAAGCATAGCTTTCAAAACTCATGCTGCAAAGATAACGTCTACGACATAATATGTTTTAGGGTTGTTCTTAGCACTCGCAAAAGTGAAGCTTTCTAAACTGGCAGTTTGTTCCTACAGTCATACGTCGGCGTGGACTTATCGTCATTTACAGAGGAGTTTGCGCAGCTTGCAGTTGGACTTCTTGTGCTGGTCACGCTGTGTGGTTTTGGTTGTTTTACATTCACAACTGCTGGTGCCAGAAGAATCACACTGATTACAGTGAAACTTCGATTATACCTGCCCCGGTTTTACAACGACCCGCATTTTACGACGAATCCGTTTGGTCCCGGCAAAATCCCCACAAAAGTAATGTATTAAAACCTTGGTTATAAGGCACAGCTTTATGCCGACCCCACATCCTACTACTTTCAGATCCCGTCCGAAAGAAAAAACCACATTTACTCGAATTAAACGTGGACGAAATATTCAAGAGTGCACAATATGGACTTGCGCACCCCGAGGTTGACGACTGGAGAAGTAGAGAATGAGACGGGATGTCTTCTTAGAATAGGAAATTTATTTTCCCGGAAGTTCATGTGCTTCTACATATTCCTGAATCGCGGGCTTAGGTATCCAGGGTCATTACCTAGTCAAGCTCTTTCCACACGGAGTAGCTTCAGCCGGTAATATTTTCACATTTTCGGTCCGTGGAAACTTTTCTGGTCGACATAGAGCTGCCTGCCTTTATCACACTTGCAGTCACATGCTCACACACGCGTAAAGGTGCGAGCCAGCTGTTTTCACCATGCAACAAGATTGCTTTCACTTGATGTGAATGTTGATAACAAGAGCGGGACACTTCACAAGGCAACAAATTACAACACGCACAGCTCAGGCAGTCTCGCAAACTCATGATTCGCCGGCATGACTCGATAGTGATGACACTGTGTCTGACTTTTCTGACAGGAGGCTGTTGGCAACGCGGTTTCGGATTTCTTTTCATGCGCGGGCAATTTCCAGACTCTATTTATCGGTGGAAAGACGCACGTTCAATTCTATTTTTTTTTTTAAGTTCATTATGAAGATGCGCTTGCATTTTTTTCAACTGAGTAATGCCGCCATTAGCTACCACTGGCATAAATAATTTAATCTAGCTTCCTTGCAGAGGTACAATATCGTGCTGTGGGCTTATTCAGGCAGCCACTCTGTAACCGTTTTTTATCCAAGGCTGAATGTCACCGTCTATATTCCCAGTTTTTCGATTATACGCCACCCAGATTACACGATGGTATTTCGTGGTTCCCCTAAAGTCGTATAATCAGGGTTCTATCACATATTTCTGTTTCATATGTTCAGTAGATTGTGGCTGAGCATGCCACTGCATGCACCACTGACAAAGTTATGAGTTGGTGGAGCAGGGGTAATTTTTATCAACAATCACTATCGGGAGTCTTCTGCAACTATTTGGCCATCGACTACGAGCTACGGTGGTCCAACATTGACAACAGCGAGATATCATAACATGGGCAGATGCTGACACATCTTTTGACAATTTCGCAAAAGTATTGCTGAAAGTGATCACTGGCCAGGAGTAGGCTATGATGGCACTAGATTTATTCAAGGAATATGATAGTGCAGATGTTCGAAAAACTTTTGGCCTAACGATCCGGTTGTGAGAACATATTATAATGCAGTACATTTGTTTCTTTGTTGAATATTATGAGAGGGTGAAATGATGCTTCACTATTCCGTTTGTCTTCACTGACGTAATCATAAGCTCACAACTAGCTTTATTATTTTATTTTAAAATTTTATTATGTGACTGACTCTGTCAGTGTGAACTTGGCTTAATAGCAGTATAGTTGCGCTACCCAAAAGAGCAGTGCAAGTTCAGTTGCTACCAAGCCAGCCATATTTCAATGGATTGAATACAAGTACATAAGAGTACGTAGATCAAGGTGCATATAAAAAAATCCCAGGCGTTCAGTGTTGAGCAGTTTCATTACTGTGTCCATAGTGTCCAAAATGGCATTGTGAACATAATAAAACCGCATTTCGTCTAAAGTGTGAAACATGGCATTCCAGTATAAGAAACGTTGCTACAGATGATACGTATACAATGCTGAAGTTTGCCGTTAAACCAGTCTACCTGACAATCATCGAACAGTTTTGGCACTTCAAAAATTCGGAATTAAGGTAATCAAAAGAACAGCTAGCTGATGGAACAGCATGTGCCTCTGCACCCACCAGCTGCTCGCGCTTTGAGCGGTTGAGGGACGGCATTCGCAGCTGGACACCCACAGTAAGTGCCTCACGCACTGTCAGTTCAGGTAGCAGGCAGTCGTCCTGCATGACATAGCAGCTCTGCTGGTTGAACAGCTCCGTGTCTCGTACCCAGCCATTGACTTGCACCTCGCCTTGGTAGCCCTTGTCACTGCATAACAAAGAAGGCATGTTGGTTTTTAAGAGTGTCAAACAAACAAGATACAAGAGATAGACCACACAAACGAGTGCTCAGCACAAATGAGAGTCTCTTGTCTGTTTCGTGCTCTTAAATACCAACATGGATTAGTAAGAACTCGCCCAGACATCTGTGTTTCTAAAGAAGGCATGACTATAGTCGATGCATTAACATCAATTGAAAGGACTGCAGATTGTAGCATGAATATGAACTAGTTCAGTAGAATGTGATTCATGAGAAAATGGCTGCTTACTGTTAAAAGATATCCTGCTCAAACATAAAATTGTTCACAAGCCTAGGTACAGGTGAACACTTTATAAGATACGCACAGAGAGCAGTCCTTGTTTCTTAAACGAGGTGTCTCTTATAGTATGCAGGGTGCCATGTTCTCAATTTCTGATCATTCGCTATTTTTATATACCACACTGGCGTATCTTATGCCCAATTGTCTCTCTATAAAAGAGTTCAACTGTAACACATAAAGAGTATATGCCAATACAGTATATAGAATACCCAAAGAACAGTAATTCAGCTAGGTGTCCAAACAACTAGTTCTTTTGAGGTGATGACATTGGTGGCACTTGTAATGGGCACCACCTACATAGGCCTACACTTGCAATCAGTAAGCCTGCTTTATTTCTTCAATGCTTACCCAATGTTCAATGTTGTTTAAAGCAAAAAACTGTTCATCATGAAGAGCCTTGCAGTGAATGAGTACTAGTTTAAGTGACAAACAGTACTCAGTTTCGGTTGCCAGACTTGTGTCGATTCTGTAGTCTGTGCACTTCCCTTACTTCTGTTATTGGTAACAAAAAACACCTGGCACCTCATAAACAATGCGCCTGCCATTGCATAAATTTGACAGCAGCTTTACAGCCACATCAGTGATTTCATAAGCCAATGAATGCCAGAAACACTTTGATTTGCTTTAGTGGTTCACTGTCATAAATGAGTTTACATTAACGTGAGCCCCCTCCCCTCGTTGCTTACACATCTGATCCTGGTGCTGTGGTGATGCCATCTCAGAGCGCCAAACTAAATTTTTTAATGATGTGTCATGAAAAAAAACAAAAACAAAGAATTCTGTCTTTCCTAAACATATTTACAGCATCTTGTTAGAATAGCAGATTAGGCAAGTTGGTGATTCACGATACAGTCAAACCCCTATCTATGAGAGACTAATGTAGCAACAATTGGGCATAAGAGACACAAATGAGATTAAATTAAAATAGGAGTACAATAGAAAATTCATGTGTGGTGCCCTGCTTATAAGACACACTTCATATAAAAGACAATTGCTTCCTGGTGCAAGTCTCTTGTAAAGAGGTTCAACAGCACTTAAAATACAAACACATATCTACACAGGGACACAATTTCAAGTTTCAGATATTTATATATGCAATAATTTTACACAATGTCTCACTCTGCGATTAAAGCTTGCTACACATGCTGTCAAATATGACGAATGCTTAGATAAATGTAAAATGTACAATGGTGATGTTAGTATGTAAAAAAATATGTTACAGCATTTTTAAATTAGATGTGACTTCCAGTCAAGAGTGAGATTCGACTGTACGAATACATGCATGTCATCATCTGTAAGTGTCTGTTAGTTTTCTATGTTATACCATACATTAACTGTGAGTGCAATAATGATACAGTGGACTCTCAGTAAACGGAAATCTATCTGTTAAACGGAACTGTTGCTTAAATGGAACAACAGCCTCTGATATGATTGCTTTTATCTCTGCATACTACACCCCAGTTCACCTCTAGTAAATGGAACTTCTGTTAGGTGGAACACATTTTCCCGGTCCCTTCAGGTTCCATTTATTGGGAGGCCACTGTATTTCGAATTTCGCGCGAAAGTCTTAATTTGTTGATTTGTGCTCTAACACATGTCCCAGCACTAAGCTAGAAATGATAAATTATGCAGAGTTAAGGAGTGTGAACTTACTAGTGGCCGGAGAGGACATTCATCAGCGTAGTCTTGCCAGCACCCGAGGGACCCATGATGGCTGTCAATGTGCCTGGTTCTGCCCGGCCGTACATGCGACTGATGAGGGCTTTTTTTTCTGAGACAAAAGAACAATGTGCAGGCTAAAGTGATCCAGTTTTCATATCTTTATGACTGACTGTTGTACCATAACAGTCATCCCACTTTACGTTTCTCACAGTTCCTTTGCATTTTGAGCTCGTATCCCATATTGAAGACGTCTTGAATGCACTCCACACAAAATACAAAGAAAAAGCAACACATGAAGAAAGGGCCATGTTTGAAAGCTTTCATTTGCAATCACCAGTCAGTGTCACATGATCATTCGCGTACAATACTTGTCAGTGTGTGGTATATCTATAACATACAGAAACAAGATGAAGAATGTACAAAAGCATAAGCACCAGCGTCTCACTTCTTTCATTATGTCAGTGTACACTGCAGATACCATGACATTATCGCCATGTTCACTTCTCTGCCACTAGAGGCAGTTTAATTTGCTCACTGCCTTTTATCTGTCACTCATGAAACATTGGTGATCAGTTCCATAAACCGTACTTACAAATTCAAAAGCCACATCACATTTTTTAAAACAACGACCTGTACTATGCGATTGCTCGAGATAGCCACGTCATGTCGCGATCAGTCGACATGGTCTCTGAAGATAATGTTGGCTCTGATATACGTTTATAATTTGAAATCACATTGCTGCAGCCTGAATTAAGTACAGCATAAACAAGAATATGAACATTACGTAGCCCTAAGTTGTCTCGTTTCAATTAATGAGTACTCTACAAATGCACTATGCTGCAACCTTGCAGTCCACTTCAGTGCATAGCACGTGAAGTCTGGGTTGCCAGGTTTGGCTACTTTATGCCAATTCAGCAACTTTTTTGGGCCGGTGTTGGTAGAAAAAAATGTCTTAGCTACTTGGCTACTTTTTGGCTAGTTTCTCGTTTTCTCGATTTTAACCAAGTTATTATTATTTTGTAATGTCTCAACCTTTGACGCTCGTATAGGCGTTGCCAGAACATGGTGACCGAGGTTTCTTTCCAGCTCCCGAACTTGCGTTTGTGCTTAAATTACAGGAAGGAGGACTTTCGGATATGTCACAAAGGAGATAACTGCGCTATACCCTCGTATAAACCAGACACACACACATAGGCGCAGCGTGGCTGGGCCTTGGGGAAAACTATTTCATTGCGTCTCATTTCTGAATGCCACTTATTTCTTAATGTGACTTCAAACGGCAATTGGAAGTGAACAGGACCAATTAAAGCACTCTGCATCGAGGAATGTTTCCACTCAACAATAGAAAGTGGATATCTGACGAAGTGCTTGCGTCGTTCATTATGATCGCGTACGGGCAGCAGCAGCTGGGGAATATTGAAAGCTTGGACTTGGTCGTCACGTGAGAAACGGTAGCAGAAGTGACTGCAATTTATGCCTTTATCGCAGCGACTGTGATACTGGGCACACTTATGTAGTACTCGTTTTCATTGTTACTAGTACTTTTAGCGCTTTTCCTAAGACTCGCACAAGACGGGTAAATAATTCTTGCTACAGCAGAAAGAATTTTATCATGCCAGGTGAAATGATTGCTAAAGTCCACAATTCATGCCTCAATATCTCAAAAATGTTAATTTTAAAGAGTTCTTACTGTACATGTTTACATTTCCACAAAAATACTCTTGAAATGTCTTATTTAAACAACAATGTTGCCAATGTTTTAATTTGCTTATGCCTGCTTTCGGCTACTTTTACTGCCTTTGGCTCAAGTAGGCTACTTTGTAGCTATTTGTCTTTTCACCCTCTCAACTTTGCGTGTCATTACTCATACATTTACAAAGCACAACTATTTTTTTCGTCGTGGTATTATCTGAAACGGGAGAAATTCAGGGTTGTTTTGCTGTTTGCACGGAATGTGGCCACGCACCTTTCTTCTTGACAGGCACTGTGTATGTGATGTTCTTCCAGTCGAGGTACACGGCATTACACCGTGACTGCCGAAACACATCACTCGATCGTGCTGTACCATTTTCAATGTCAACCACGGGGCTTCCTCCGTTCTGGAAAGATACCACAAATTCTTGCGGCAGCAGCTGTGACTCGTCGAGCGACTCCTTCTCCGATGCTGCCGCTGTGGTGCTCAGGGGCTTCTCGCCTTCAGACTTGTCTGAGAGGGCCAGCTTGGAGCCTGCAGGAAAGGCACAGTTGGAATGCTAAAATACCATACATGCGAATCAAAGGAAAAGTGTGACAGTCACAATTATTACATGCCAACGGATTAAAAACAGTCGTGTAAAGAGACAAAAGAATACTGCAGCTCAAACTTGCACACACGTTGTTGAACTACATGGTTGTTAAGTGCCATTTATTTGCTGGTGACATCGTGAGCATATGGATACCAGGGAGACACATCTAATACAAATTATTCAAGCACTTCTACGTGCTCCCATGCGGCCTCCGAAATATAGTCCAACGATCTTGTGTATAAGACGCCTTGCTTTCTCCTACCTAAAAATGGGGAGAACATTCAATACATCTCCATCAAATTGTTACCTCACACGACATGACAAAAACAAAAATGTTTAGTTGCATTGTCGTTGCTTCAAAAAAATCGCAACTGATCTTTTTTGCAACTGATATATTTGTTATTTTTGCAGTCCATAGAACTCTCAGTACTCTGCCAGCGACAAAGCTCAAAAGGATTTAGCTTTGTCCTGCATATTTCTGCAAGTTTCAAAATTCACAAGTGTAAGTTATAAACCACAGGAAAAACCAGGGTGTTTACACGATGAATTCTAGTTTTGAAGCTGACACCAATGTATTTCAAACTCTTTCAAAGTTTATATATTGCTTTCCTAAATATCTGTTGAGCTACCACTAGGATCCATTTTGAAATATAGGAAAATGGTGCTCAACATTTTGAGGTGGAGGACTAAGTTGCGTGAAGCCAATACATCCAGGGTCTGCACGGAATGTGAAATTATGAGCAGCAAGTCTTTTGCAGGCTAAATGTAAAAATTCGGATAAACTAATTTGTGAAACTGGCTTAAAAGTCATGTTTATTTTCAGCATGCATGTCACAAAGTTGTAATGAAACAACTAGGTTACAGGCGAAAATACCATTTCGGGCCGAAACTGCCATGTCAGCCTTCATATAGGTAGTGTTAGAGGGAAAGGGGTTTTCATGCTATGTCAGGGGCCAAACAAATACTGCCAGGCCGGCTGCAGGTTCTCGACCACTACTCTACAACACCTACTATATCATTGTTTTCCTGAATGCTCACAGGCTGATCACCCTGTTGTAATAAAAAAAATTTTTCTTCAGAATTATCTATACAGTCAAACTATACCCCAGATACTCTATTTACTTCTGGAGAAGTATAAGAATAAACATCACTTGCAGGATTGCTAAAAATTTTCAATTTAAGTCTGCAGGAATATTTATAGAAAAGCCTCGTAGTCATTCAAATCAATAAAATCGGTATGTATTGCAGGTTCATTACTGTGTGTGTGAAGTGCTTGGATATTTAACTGCATTCTGCTGATATATATATATATATATATATATATATATATATATATATATATATATATATATATATATATATATATATATATATATATATATATATATATATATATATATATATATGACAGCGGCAATTTGTACAGAAAAAAAAAATCAAGTTCAGCAGACCATCACCAACATAGTTTTTTCGAGTGACATCGACGAGAGGTAGACATGATGGACTCGCTTATCACGTAATTGGCAAGAGGCAAAACGTCCTATCTAGGCGTGCGCACATATAAGGCCGTTATTTACGGCTGGTTATGTCTGAACCGCGCGGCCCGCGGACGCAGCTGGCGAGAGAAAATCACCCGGTGACGCGGTTGTTGCAAGTGTCCTTAGTGCTCACCGAAGGTACGCGTTCGCAATACATATAGAACGACACACACTTGCCTAGCCCAAGGCGGGCATGCACGTTAATATGACGCATTCGTGGCGGCGGTGCCAACAAAAATGATAGGAGCTGTCGTCCTCCCACCCCGATCACACATAGCAACAGCGAAAATTCCGCCGGAAGAAGGCACTGAATGTGCACGGAGTCCATGATCGCGACAAACGAATCCACACTGCTTTCAAAGCTGCTAAACATCAGCGCATTCAGACAGGTGACGCGACGTGCGAAATCAACCCAACTGTTTTGATCACAACAATCCGAGTGCACCATTGCAAAAACCTAAAACACAAAAGCGTAGCGAGCATCCCGCACTACCAAAACAAACACGTCGTAGCACAACAGGGCAAACAATGGATGACTTTTCTTAGACGTATGACGATGACTCATCGAGCGCAGGCACGGGACTCGATCATTTTCGTCATCCAAAAATGAATGAAAAGCGCAGCGATGCAGCTTCACCACACAGCTCTCTCCGTCGAAAGGTCGGGTGGCGCGCGCTCCACGACACAACCCTCCATCACAACCTTCGCAGGAATGCGGCGCAGAGACACGCATACACGCGCACAGGGCTATCTTATCGGAATACACGCACCGTCCTAAGGAAAACGAACCACAAGCAAAACTCATAACCGTTACATCAGCTAGAGCAAGAGATTGGGCAGGTTTGTACGTGCGAATGGTACGTGTGGAGAGTTTTCGCGAGAAGCGAGCACGCCAGAGGCAAAACAAACCTTATAGTAGAGGCTCACTGCGACACAATGGAACGAAGAGGACGCTTGCGAAGTCCACGGATAACGAGCGCCGTTGCACGTGAGCGAATGTCGGGCAGCCGACAAGTAAAGTCGCCCAAGCCGCCCAGCAAATAAACGCACGCAAAGTGAGACAGATGCTGGCGAAGAGGAAAGGGGGAGAAGCGTTGAGGATGACGAAGGACGAAGGTAGTAACTAAAGGAGTCACAGAGGCGGTAAACACCAGAAACATGTGGAGAGCGCATGCTCTGTGTGCCTGCAGCGATGTGTGACGCGGGTGGAACCATTTTTCTGTAGGACCAGTAGCGCCATCTCAAAGGCCCGCGCCAAAACCCGGGCTTCCAAGGTTGCAGGCGAAGCATCTGTTCCGGGGGTCGAAATCGAGCGAGCTTGCGAGCGCTAGTTTCAAAGCTTTCCGGTTATTGCGAACAAGGGTCCTCAATTGGATACCTTCCCTTTGTATAACTTTCAGCACAGCAGCTTTCCGAAGAAAAATATGTGTCAATATTCAATTCGTGAAGACTGCAGTAGCTGGTTCCTTTATCAGAGCGATATACAGGAATCGAGAAAATTGTTAAATATGATGTTTCTTAAAAAAAAAAAAACATCCTTATGGTAATATGCAAGCATCAAACTAAATATGTGGATGGACAGAAAAGATTTCAAATTGTTCGGCAAATTAATGCGGAAACATAAAAACATATGTCTTAATTGCTCTCCTTGTCCGAAGCAACGCAAAATGAACGTATCGAACGCGTATACCAATGCCTGTAAGAAATAAATTTTAGTTTGAGTGCTTTCGATTCGAAATAAGCATTACGAATGACAGAGTGGCTTGATTATTTATCAGCCCAGATGATCGAGCTCAGAAGAGGAAAAAGAGGGGAAGGAGATCAACCAGATGCGAAAATTCGATTTGCAACATTGCAGTGGGTCGGGAAAACGGCGAATACTGAACCAGTAATACGATCTCGGAAGAACCCAGCTGTTTCCTTTCATATTTTCACAACGTCCGACTCGCCACCATACATCACCACGTCGAGGAAGACACCCAAGCTTACGACAACCATGCAAATTTTAGGTTCGAGGCAAACACATTTGTATTTCTTAACGCCATATGTTCTCTACAGGAAAGCCAGATAATTAAGTATCGTAGAGCTTTGACCGAATACAAACGCGAGACGCTAAGTGAGGAAACAAATTATCGAGAAAGTGTCATTGAAACATTTTTACCATCGCTAATAGTAAAATTCACATGTGCAGGTAATTATGCATTCATCTCATATGCTCAGGATGCAGATGAAGCAAATGACCTCTGGCATGCATGGGCTTGTGTACACATGCTGAAGTAGTTTAGTTTCTAGAAAAGTTGCTGAAAACATCAAGCCAAGGCGTCTGAAATGTCACTGGCACAGAAGAAAAACGGAACGTGTTTGCACCTTGAAAACGATGCACGTACACTGAACTGTGCAGAGCAAAGTAGTTCACCCCAGTTTCGCGTGAATGAATGAGTCACAATATTTGCGTTGCGGCAGTTGTGAGTAGTGTTTACTGCACGGTACTATGGGCTTGAGTAGGTTTATGTTTGCCCCAATCGCGATTGCTCAAGCCATCCACTCGACTCCATTTTTCTTTGCTTATCAGGCCCGCCCGACGTTTTTTCAAGGACGTCGGCAGAGGCGTGCGAGATATGTGACCCAACTCGAGACATCCTGTGTGACTCGTTACTTTTGTTTTGTTTGTTTGCGTATGTATGTACGTGTACATGTACACAAGACCGACTTTGCGTAGTTCAATGCTCAGACTAAGGATATGTTGCCTTTAGCCGCTTGGGAATCATCTCAAAAGTTTCAATGTGGGGTCGAGCCAGTGCAGATTGCATCAATATATTGTGTGTTCTTTTACTGCTAAACAATCTTCATTATTAGTGAAGAAAACGGAGGTGGATCATTCAGGGCAGACTTATCTGCAGGAGTTCATATACATGCCATATAAGGTGCACAATTTGTTAATGGATATGTGCAAAAGGTACACACGTTTATAAGTGTGTAGCATTATAAGGGGTATAAAATAAAGGCATTGCGAAGAGAGCCTGCACAGAGTAAGGTACGCCATGCTTTCACTACGCGTGGCGTACAACATTTTTCTTCATTTTCGTCACTCATTTCTTATCGAAATGGTTTACGAAATATTGGAGTTTGTTGCGATGCCACTCACTTCTTTGTGAGCCAGGTCCGATGTGTCGAACTCGCACCGAGATATTTTACCACTGATGATAAGTTACGGAAAATACTGCTTGGTTCCGAAGGACAATAAAGACAGTTTATAAACTATCCGCGTCAGATGAATGAAACCCGAACATCGGCAAGCCTTCGCGACGGAACTTCGCGCGCTGTCCTCTTATTACCATGGACAGGAGGCACGCACATATGCGCAGAGCTGCCTAACAGAATGCGTCAGTGGTGATAACTGGACG